CAGGAATTGGGACCTGGCGGCTCAGACGCAAACTGTCGGCACATGGCACATGGCTCAGCGTGAGGAACCAACCCTTAGTCGTTCAGAGAGGGGCCCGTTTGAGACCTCTAGCAACGCAAGGTTGGAATCCAGAGCCTGTTCGAAAGCCAGCGCGAAACTTCCAAAACGTCTGAGCCGTGGCGGCTACTACTACTACTACTACTACTACTACTACTACTACTACTACTACTACTACTACTACTACTACTACTACTACTTACGCCTACTCCTCCTCCTCTTCCTTCTCCTCCTCCTCCTGCTGCTGCTGCTGGTGCTGATGCTGCTGCTGCTGCTGCTGCTGCGACGACGACCACGAACTACTGGCACCACCGCTGCTGCTGCTACTAGTAGTTCTACGACCTATGTGTACCGCGACTTCCACAGCTACTACTCTAAGCAAGACTGAAGGTTGCGTGATAGTCTTGTGTTTTGGGCCTGGTTCTTCATAAATCTTGAACCTGGGTTGTTGCGATTTGGTGCCTCCTGGCTGGGATGCAACTTGCTGCCTCCTCCGTCAGAAAATGTCCTGCTGGATCAAGACATGCAGTGCATCGAAGGCAGAAGCACTTGCTGCTTCTTCTTTTTTGACGCACCGCCCAGAGCTGACGCCCGAAAAGGCTCCGGCCCAGTTTTTCTCGTTGGTATTGGGCTCCAGACAGTCTACACCATTAGGCTTGAAGCAGCAGAAACCCAGACCCGACAGCCTCAAGCCCGGAGAGCGACAACCCTAGGTACGTTCAAGCCAGAATCAGGTCGATTCTTCCAAGACCAACAGCGAACAGGATGTCAACAAATCACGACCGCTGAAACTGATCCCAACATAAGATCCGAACCATTCTGTTCAAGATACACTGATACTCTGGGCCGCGACGGCCCCATTCTGCATAGCTGTCAGCTGCAATCTTGCGATGCGAGGCCAGGTTTAAGCTGGTTGTTGCAAGCCGACCGCCGAGCCAGGTCTTCGAGTGCCAGAGCCCGAAATTCGGGTTCAGTTCGTCTCAGTTTTCGTGGTCGGGTGCTAAGGTGCTTAAGCCGGGGTGCGGCATGTGCAACAGACAGCCTAAACCCTGGTGTGATTACTTCATCGGACTCTGAAACCACGTGGTGATCTTGCGAGCATGCCGTCTTCAAAGTCTCCTCCAAGCAGTGGGTAGAGTGCAGGGGTGCAGTGGGTGAGTCATGGGGGTCCAGGGGCTGTCTGCTGGCTGATTTTCATGCGAACCACCATCGGGATACACACTGACACGAAGCATCCATTTCTGCCTTCTATCGGCCGCGTCGCTAGTAGCCTTCTTACCAGCACTGAATGTTGTCTTCTCTTCATCACCTTAGTGGCAATAGTCGTCACCATTGTCGTAGCAGTAGCCTCAGCAGAAAGACTAGCAGTAGCAGCAGCTGCACACTAGTAGTAGTAGTAGTAGTAGTAGGAGGAGGAGGAGGAGGAGGAGTCGTAGTGGTAGTCGTAGTGGTAGTGGTAGTGGTAGTGGTAGTGGTAGTGGTAGTGGTAGTGGTAGTCGTAGTAGTAGTTGTAGTAGTAGTAGTAGCAGCAGCAGCAGCAACAGTAGGAGCAGTAGGAGCAGTGGCAGTGGCAGTACCAGTAGCAGTAGCAGTAGCGGAAGCGGTAGCAATTGCAGCAGCAGTAGCAGTTGTAGGAGATAGTAGGAGTATAGTAGTAACAGTGGTAGCAGAGTAGCAGTCGTCGCAGTGGTAGTAGTCGTAGTAGTAGTCGTAGTAGTAGTAGTAGTAGTAGTAGTAGTAGTAGTAGTAGCAGTAGTAGTAGTAGTGAGTAGGGGTGATGGTTCCAGTAGCAATAGTAGTAGCAGTAATAGTAGTGGCAGCAGCAGCAGCAGCGGGGTAGGGTTAGTAGCGGCAGCATCCTGTGTCTTTGAGGGTGGCTTTAAGTTTTACGCCGGAACCTGGGGCAGCTCTGCAAGATTGGCACTCGTGGTTGTAGGAAGGGATGTGCGTGCAAGGCAGGGGCACGGCGTTGTGCTTGCCCGCCCTGCACAAAGGACCTTTGAGCTCGAAAAGAAGCAAGACCTTAGAATCACGGGTGGGGCCGGCTTGCCCCTGCGACTCGGCAAGCTCAAAAGCCTTATGTCCTCTGGGGCCCGAACACCCTAGATGCCGAGACCCGATCTTTAAAATCTCTCCTCTTTGAAGTCGTAAAGGGACACCACCAGATCCTACTCGGAGGCTTGCCGGGCAAAGCTACAGGTTGTAGGGGCACAGCAAAACCGCCGGCTTGATTGTGGGGATTCTCTGGTTGCCAGGGAAATCTCTGCCTCGTGTGCCAGACGCACAGTTTTCATTTTGGTGCCAGTCGGACGCCAGTCAATGCTGAAATGGAGAAAGTGTACACATGGGGGCTTCGGTCTTTTTCGTACATTGGTGTCCGACTACGCATGCGTGGGTCAGGGACGTTTTTCAAGGCAGTGTGGGCTGGCGTGTGGGTTTCCAGTGAGTATGTAGAGACCGTACTTTGCATGTTCACAGCTAGATCTCTATGCTTCCCGCAGCAGACAAGCCTGCGTGCCGAGCCCAGCAGCAGCAGCAAGAAACCGCATGGGAAGAAGAGGACTCTTTCTACTGGCACCCACAAAGGTCGCTTAAGCCCTAGTCACTGTCGGATGCAGGCACATCCGGGAGTGTGCTTGCGGATCTGCCTACGAATCTTTGGCGTATTGAGAGGACCAGTTGCCGAGGAAACCGTGCCGGATGAGTTCTGAGTTCTGTCCACTTGACGTGGGGAGAAGAAAGAAAGACAAGGGTCTTGGGTGTTGTTTACTACTTTTTGAGTGAAAGAGCCCTCAGGAAGAGTATCAGTACTCAGGCAATTACAGCCTGAACCAATTGGGAGTTTCCGAAAATAGGGGACCCTAATATAGCACCCCAAACAATGGGATCCCTATTATAAGGACCCCCAACTAAGGTACCCCTTGTTTTTGGAAACTCCCAATTCTTGTTGGAGCATGAAACAGAATGAGCTCTTCTGAAGTCGCTCCTCGGTCAAACAGCTCCGAAGAAGAAGGCCTAGGAGTATCTCAGGGGTAGTTTTAAGGTGGGGTTATAAGTCCCCTAATTAGGGTTACATGTATTGTTACCCTAGTTATATCCCGACTTATAACTACCCATGAACCTCCAAGTAAGGGCTAAGGTTAAAGGTTGCCTTGCTTTGGGTCCTCTTTGGGTGCAGATGAAGACCTTGAAGGTCCCAGTTCCTCGAAGCCAGTTGCTTGATGCGCCCCTATACCAAGGGTCTATGACTAAATCTGTGCCTCAGGGTTCCTGAATATCGACACTGTCGTGTGCTTGCATGATTGCTGCAACCCCGGGCCTTTTTATTGTGTGAAGGCCACTACATGATTCAGGTATGTGGCTTTAGTTGCTTGAGCTGCATCCGCCCCGAGATGGGCCGGTGCATTGAGGTCATGGCACTGAAGCAAAGTTGCTTCAGCTAGGTGCCGCAACATAGAGGCTTTTTCTACAGTAGAAGCCAGGAAGTTGGAACATTTGTTTCACCTAACCTGAAGTTTAGAACTCCGGAAAGAGAAGAATAGCTGAGTTCCAACTCTACAGCCTCTGCAGTCTGCCTCTTTCAAGTCATCATGTCGAGTCGCCTGTCTCTAGAACTCGGGAAAGACGATCGGACTTGTTTTAGGCATCCTACCATCCTATTCTAATGCCTGCCCAACGATCAGGTGGACGAGGCTTTAACTCCAAAGACCCAAAGCTCACGGCTGCCCTAAATCCTGAACTCTTAAACAAGTATCCCAACAGTTAGGAGACTGCAGGGTTTGTGAGGCCGGCGGCATCATTTCAGCGGCTTGATGGCGTAGCAGTGTTTAATTTTCACTGACGCGCCCGGGTTTCCGCGGATAGCCAAACCACAGAACCGTAGCCAAGCCCTAACCTTCAAGCGTTTCAACCCTGCAAACCCCGGCTTGCTTGCCTGCAACATGCTCTCGTGGAAGAGCAGACGCACGGTGCGAGCTATCTGGCCCTCGACAATCTGGAGGATATTGAGCCTGATTTGACAGAGCCTTAAATCGTATCCCTAGAGAACCACCCCGAAACGTGACGCCTAGTTACTTACTTTGTGTCGTAAGGAGTTGGAGTTCGGGGTGTCAGCGTTTAGGGCGATTGGTAACGGGCCGTAAAACGGGTCCTAATGTGACGAGTATGAATACTGTGGTGATTACATTTGCATGTGCCTACTGTCCTTCTACATCGTAGTACTGCCTATCATGTACTTGCTAGTGTTGAGATGGTGAGTAGCGCCGTTTTCATGATTTGGCAGTACTTTGATACACAGTTTCATTATCGATCCTGACTGCCATGACTCAGGTCTGTCGCTGCGTCACACCTAGGTGCAGGAGAAATCAATGACATGGTGGCTATTCCGTTCGACGCCCTAACTCAATGCAAGTTGTCGACGAAGATGTTCGGCCACGATCCCAAAACCTCAAGCCCAGAATCCAACACCCGTGACCCTGACGAAACCCAAAGCCCTAAGCACTAAACCCTAAACCTTAAAGTTGGTACCCTGGTGTCCGGTCCTCGACTAACTACCTCCTCCTGCTACGAATTCTTCGTGCGCTACTTCTGCTGGTCGAAAAGGGCCTCCAAAAAGAACTAAACGCATCCGAGGTTCAGGTAGTTGTGCCTGATTCGGAACTTGCTACAGACATGAGAACGTGCCAAAATGAGAGCGAGGGGGGGGCCGGTGCTAAGCTTGAGTTCCGTTGTCGAGGTGCTAGAATGGATTTGCAGGTTGTTCTAGCTTTTTAGATCTCTTCTAGTCATCCTGCTTGTAGAAAGCAACCAGGACCACCAGGACCACCAGTCACCCCCACAGGGGCTCAACCTGAAAGCCTGAAAACCTTCCACCAAAAGCCCCAAACGTTGAGCCTCAAAACTTACGTCCGAAACGTCGAATCACCAGTCCGTACCGGCGCCAGGAGGCAGATGACCCCGAAGTGCGGCTGGCCTTAATCAGCCGGAGCCTGTGTGATTCAGGTGCTTTATGGCTTCAGGGCGGTAGGGCTTCAGGACAAGGTTTTCCCTTTTCACCGAAGCGGAGCCCGCTTGGTAGCCTTGCACTGAATTCTGCCTTCCTTACTTGGCTCTATAGTTCTGTAGATCGGTGAAGCGTAAGTAAACCGAAGCCACAGTTCCCATACTCCAATCGAATGCGCGCCGGGGATCCCTGCATGCCCCATGTGCTTGGCTAAGCGCCCCATCCCTGCATCCCTCAACCACTTACTCCCGAAGCCTCTGAACATTGGATTGTCCGTGGCAGTTCCGCTGTGACTACTGCTTCGACAGTTCTTTTGTAGAAGTTAATTCCAGTAGGATCAGCTTTAGGACTAGACTTTGGGAACTCTATTGTGCGGGTAGGCCATGTGCTGTCTTCATGTAGCAGCGGCAAACCGACAAGATCATGCACCCATAATCCGCAAGCAAATGGAGCAAAACCTAACTACACCTAAAGTCGCAGAGCCCAAACCTTACAAACTACAGAACACCATAAAGAAGGCATTGCACATTATCAACTTGGCTAAGGTCGGATTCCAGAGAATCCGCACCGGCTGGAGGTGGGTTTAGGGGTTTAGGGATCACCAAGCACATGTCTTTGTTCGGGCTAGAACCATCCAGAGGAGGAGGGGCAGTAGCAAGAGTACTGGCCCCGTGGTTCCACCCGTAAAAGTTTGTGACGCGCGGCTTCAGAGGTAAGGCACTGACTTCTTGAGTTAGCCGCCAGACTCTGAGCCCGTAGTCCACGAGTTTGAAACGTAATCTCCCGAAGCCCCGCATCCCACAAGCCTGAACTCCAACATCCAAACCCTAAACTCCTAATGCCCCCCTGAATGCCAGACCCTAAACTCCTAAAAGCCCCTGATCCGAACGATGACAAGGCCAGAGTAAGACGGTTCTGGGATCCTCTCCTGGGTTCTTGTTAGGGAGTTTGTTTTAAGCCGCCATTGTAGGGATCTGTAGCAAGTCGCTTTGTTTCCTCATTATGGTAGCTTAATTGTTCAAGTACATTCCTGAACCAGAGCCCAGTTTCAGAAGGGCTTTCTAGGGGGTTTACTGAAAGTCTTCTGCAACACTAGAGACAGCTTTGTCTGGTTCGTGGAACTGGTTGTAGCATCCCCGGAGCCAACAGCTTCGTAAGCCTGTTTTCTTAAATCCTGAACGAGCCCAACCTCCGAAGCTGTTGGAACAGGAACCACCACCACTCGACCCACAAAGCCCGAAATCCTTGAACCCTAAATCCTAGGAGCCTAAAGCGTAAAGCCTAAAGCTTAAACCCAAACCTAAGCCCAACCCTGATCCCCAAATCCTTGGCTTCAGCCCAAAAGGTGCTTTGTGGGCCGAACGGCGTTTTGCGGGCAGACCAATTCAGGTCCAGGGCAGCAGAATGTTTGTGGCTTGGAGCTTTGGGTTTCGGGGTTTCCTGTCATTTCTACCTTGTTCGGCTTCTTTGGATGTAAACTTCCTTGAGGCATTTTCCACGCGAAGCTCGATGTCCATGTGGGGCTCGTGTAGCATCACCCGAATCCCAAACAGTCCAAGGCTCTGAGCCCCAGAGGCAAGAAACCCACCCTCAGAGCGAACCCCCAAAGCCCGAGACCCCAAGCTGCGAGCCGCAAACCCGAAACTTGGGTGTGCATCGGGGCTGTGACTCCCAAGTTCAAGCCCCACATCCTTAACCTAATCTGGGTGATGGCTTCTCCAGCAGGGTTTACCGCCACCCAAGATCTCTGTTCTGGTAGCTCGCCTGTTTTTGCGTAATACCACACAATGCCTCAAGCAACCTAAACCTAGAAGCCGCAGAGTTATGAAGAGCAGCCCCTGAAGCCTCGACTCTCCTCTCTCCAACCTCAATCCGTGACCTCCCTGAACTCAGGGACCTACGGTGGATCCCAGAAGCTTCACAAGCAGCTCTGGTGGATGTGCAGGGGCCTCAGCATGGCGCTGCAGTAGGGCCCACCTCAAACCAACCTTACTTCACGTAGACACTCCCGCTTGACGAAAGGCTGAGGGTGCACGAGTTCTGGTCGGGCGCTCAACGGGAAGCCTTTGGCTTTGTTGGTCTCGGCCTTTCTGGCGTTTGGGTGCTTGGACGAGATGTGAACCGGTTGGGAAATTTTTCTGGAAACTGACATTACAAATGTTCAGTCTAGGCCCAGGGTTTAGGGCTTAGGGTATGCCGCCCTTAGCCCCCTCTGATCATCTCTGATCCTTTGGTCATGTACGGCTTACCCAGGCCTGGCTAATGCGAGTGCTTTGCCGAACCTCCGTGGAATACTTTCAAGTCCCAAATCGCACACCAGCTTTGAAGTCCTCAGTTCATCTGACTATCTGACTCTTCGGTAGCTCCTCAGCCCATGAACCGAGAACCCTGGTTCATGTCCGACCTTGCAGTAGCTGTCCTTCGTCAAGGGCCTCTGGATTCCTTTCCCTCGGCCCTGAACTACAGCCTGAAGCAGCCGTGAATGTATGCCATACTAAGCCATACTATTCTGCTATGGTATGCGAAAACGTGGGAGAGGCCTGAAAAAAGTGCTCGGCTCGGGGTCGCGGGCCATGAGACGACAGGCGAAGGCTTACTGTTTTCACCAAAGCGCATGACTAGTTCGGAGCATGCTGGATTGCTTCTGCCGATCATGACAAGCACTAGCTGCTAGCTTCTGCCGATCATGGCACGCTGTAAGTTCTGGCCTCTGCGCATCATGGCATGCTTTTCAACCGGCATCATCATCTCGATACACAAGGTTTCCACAAGCGACTAGAGTGATTTCACAGTAGGCTATGTTTTTGCTATGCTGTAGTACTATACTATGCTACCTCTATGACAGGCGTGCTTTGCTTGCCACCGAGGTATGTGAAGAAGCTCATGGACAAGGTGGAGGAGGCGCGGGCTCGTCTGGAAATCACTGCTAGCAGAGAGTTCGGAATGGAATCAAGGTTTCTGGGGTGTGGGACAGGTATCTTGCACCACCTTGAACTTTCCAGAAAGTGTCAGACTGTTGACACATCAACTTCCTGTTCTCGCCAGGAAAAGTTTTGCGAATCCCAGCGCTAATCATGTCACCACAAAGCCCTGACCTTTGTGTAGACCCGAAACCAGAAACATCGCAAAACCCTTAAACCCCAGAGCCCGGACCATCCGGGGGCCCAGAACCATGCTGGGACCGGGAAAGGGCAGCGAAACTTAAACATAGGTTTTTGGTGGCTTTCTTGTTTTTGTTTGGCTTCCTGTGTCAAGGTTAAGTTTTCAGGCTAGTAGTGTCTGCTTAGGGGGAAGGGCGTTGGCTTGAGTGTGGAGAGTTCGAGATCTGAAATTTAGGGTGACAAAGCGTGATGCAGTCGCATCCCGGAGCCCCAGAAGCCCTCGGAGCCCTCGCCCAAAAACCAGCCCAAGATCCCTGAGCCCTTTAGTTTTTTGCCTTCTTTAAAGTAGAAGTTTGGCACAGGTATTTGCGAAACCCCAAACCCACCATCGTCAAGCCACGACTCTAAACCGTCTAAACCCTCAATCCGCAAGCTCGCAAGCCTGGGCGTCCGACAGCGTTTGTAATCTTGGGAGGTAATCGTTAAATACTCTACCCTGAACACCGTTCTCACAGGCAATGAACCAGAGACCCGTATAACAGTCCCCATAGTAGCCATTTCAACGAATCCCTAAAGCAACTTATTCTCCCAAGGCGAAGGGCTACGACTCGCGCCACCTCCCTGTCGATGCTGGCGACACGAAGGCAAGCTTTCGGTCCCGGGGATTCTAGGGGCGAAAGCAGGGGCCTTCGTAACTTCAACACGATTTCTTTTGAGGAGGGGTAGTCTATTATAGTATATTCAAAAGCGGACTACAAGGGGGTTCTGGCTCCATGTGTTTTTGGCACTGTTTCCGAAGCTTCCACGAAGATCCTTGAGAACAGACAAGCACATGAATTTGTGACATAATTGAATTCAGAGTCTTTGCATGTACATTGGAAGATATTTGCTGCATTTGTACACGAGAGTTCAAGATAGCCTCAGGCCCTTTCTGCTTCTCTCTATTCCGACATGCGTCTTGGGCCGTTAATTGTGAAGAGAAGAGCGACCCTTCCAACTAAAGCTCGCACCCTGGGGCTCCCTCCCAAATATCTCAAGCCCTAGTCTAGCATGTCTGTAGACCGCCTGCCGCCTGGATCGAAAATTCAGATCGCTGAGTCCTAATTTCGCTATAAGGTCCCCTGAAGACCCCCTCCTTTTGCTCGACATTGAGGTGTATATGCTTCGGTCGTATTGCAATATGAAAAGGACCCTCGACGTGACGATGAAAGACCTTGCACAACCACAGCACTCCGCATGTAACCACCAGCCCTGGTATCACCATGCGATTGGGGCGACAGTCTAGGCCTCCAAGCCTGGTAGTATAAACCCATAGTGCTCAACCCAAAATCCTACGCCCCCAAAAAAAGCTCAAAGCGTCCGTCCCAAACCTCAACCCCAATGTGTATCTGCACAGGTTTCTGAGGAGTCGCAAGCTCAGCTGATGCAAGCGATGCTGCCGAGGTTAAGGGATTTCGGGTTCAGATTCCACCATGTTTTGCCAAAAGCCATTAGGGCAACGCTGCAGCAACATGCATGTCTTTCCCGAAACCCCTGCCGTTTTTGCTGTAAAGCCGTTTAGTGCCACAAGTGTCAACTCTATGGGGTCCTTTGGAAGTCATCATAAATCAGACCTACCCAAACCTTCCGCTCGTAAACCGAGCTCCACTTGGGCAACCTTGAGTTGACCGTTGGCACCGATTGCTGAGAAGAGATCAACTCCCTGGTTCCTAACTAAGAGCTTACGATCCGACGTCTGGTAGTTCCCTTGTCCAGCCCGAACCTAAATCCAAAACTGCTACCCTAACTTCCGCATCTGGCTCACCCCAACCCGCCCCTCCCCTCACAACGAAAAAGAACGACACCGAGCCAGAAATCCTGAAGCCTAAACCTTAAACCCCTTCACCGTAAATCCCCCCAAACCCTGAAGCCTCGACTCTGGTTCAGGTCCTGGTCGGCGGCGAGCCGAGCTGCCGGTGCTGTCTTAGAGGCTGTGGACCAGGCTCATGGCGGCTTCGGGTTTTAAGGATTTAGGAGTCGAGGGGTGTAGAGTTTTAGGGTTCAGGGCTGAAGAGTTTCCACAGCCACACCTGCGGTAGTTCCTGACACACTTCCAAGAAGGCTTGGGCAGGAGTCCCCACAGGAGTCTGCAGGGCTAGGAACGCTGGTCAGGCAGTCACTGGAGTCTGGGGAAGAGGTCTCTAAATCGCTAATTATCAGATCGGCAGCTCATGGCGACGACACCCCATTTTAGCGCGGCTCTTTCAGCATGGCCATTTTCACCTCCCATGGAACACAGCTCGATGAAGAAAAGATTTCAACCAGTCTAGTCCGCTCAGGACTGCTCCCATCTATGGCCCTCATAGAAAAAATACCAGTCGACAGGACAGGTCTCCCCCCGAAAAAGCACACTGCCCAGCAGGTCTGCAACGAGACGGCTAGAAACGCCTTTTGCTGCGTCCGGCCGCAGCAGCCTTGGACGGGTGACTTCGGTCTCTATAGGATGCTGTTCCCCAAGCAGTGTGGTACACATTATGAGGTTCTTATTTTCCTCAAGCTACCACAGACTGCTTGTTTGTAGGTTCTTATATTGCGAACCCGAATGTAGAAGTTTCAGGGACTATACAAAAAAGTAGGTTTTGGCAGTCCAAGGTTGGGAATAGAGAGAATTGCGGTAAGTGTGGCCGCGCGGCACGTGCGCGGGAACACGTTCCCAGCACCTGGCTCTGCTGCCCCGTGGCTCCGCTTTGAGCTTTGGGCTAAAGGTTCCTTCGGCTGTAAAGAGGAAGATTTTGGAGGGATGGTGCCTGAGGTCTTCTAGTCATTCTAGTCTGAGCTGAGGATGGTGTGAGCATTTTGCCGGGGCCGCTTCGGAGTTCGTAAGGCTCAACGCTGAATCTGCCAAGCCCTTGCGAAGCCTGGTCGTTCTATGCCCCAAGTTGTGCAGTGTCTGCAGGGGTGGAAGATATCGGGATATGTTGTGGGTTGTAGGTCGGGCATGGGGCACGTCCCGTGACACAAAAGCACACCTCAAGCCTACTCCGGAAGCTGGGGCTTTGAGCAGGGTAACCGCTAAAGCCCAGAATCTCGAATTGAGCCTTGGGCTCCCTAGACCATGGAAACGCCCAAGCGCTTTCGTTTCATTTCGTTTCAAGGCGTTTGAGCTCAATCACTGTAAGGTGTGCCTTGAATTCTAAACAACACCCTAATCTCCAAGCTAGACCCTAAACCCCACCGAGCCTAAAGCCAAAAAGCGGTAAAGCGCAGCTTGTAAAAATGGCCCCACAAAAAAGCACCCCAAAGGCCTGGGCATCACCTTGGTCCCGCGGGTGCGGTTGACCAGCAGGCTCTTGAACACGGCCTGATGGACAAGCAGGGACCTTTAAGCAAGCAAAATAGGGCTTTGGGGTACGTTCTGCGGTCATAATATGGGGACTATAATCAGGGGATACGAATAATTTAGAATGCAGACCCCGTATTTTGGACACATGAGGCTGTCTGGCTAGAGGAGTAGTACGAACTGAGACGATCCATGGGAGGGGTTCAGCATTCCACGTTTTCCGGCAGAGTACCAAACCGCAGTTGCTTGTAATATTCATATTCATGAGTCGAAATACAGGTTTCCCCGCCTTTGGACGCTGAGCTCGGGGTTTGGGGCCGTTGAGTTTGAGGGCGGATGACACCCCAAGGCGCGAGTAGTTCACCCCGACCAAGACTGAAAAGCCGAAACCGTTCGTGGGCTCGTGCTTCCCTACATCCTCAAACCTTCGGCTTCTAAGTTTAAGATCTGAATCATCCAAAGCACTCTGAACAGCCAAGCCCGCATAACCCAGAATGACAAAACCCGGCCCCGCTTCTGCCTCACACCCTGAAAGCCCCAAGAAGCAAGAAAGTTGGAACTGCAGCCAAGCAGAAAACACGAAGGCCAGCATCCTGCTCCATTGTTCCAAGTTTCCTTCTTCTGCTCTAACTTCGGAGCTAGAGAAAACAGGATCATTATTCCTAGCCCCCAGACCCTAGAACCGAAACTAAATCCTAGCTTCCTGATTCTGCCACCCCAAACCGCAGTTTCTGGCTCCTTCCTTGTGCCCGCTTTGTCTTCCTTTGCTCGCCGGCGATGCTTCGCGTCGCGTGCCTCGCCCTCCTGGGCCTTGCTCAGGCCAAGGAGCGCTGACCAGCGTCCCCACACAGGGGCCTACAAGGGTTACCTATTTGGCGGTCATTATCATACTCATAGACTCACAGTATAATGGGCCCCAAAGCCCAGTTCTTATTATTAAGGCCCCTTTATTAAGTCTCACGGCGTAGGCCTCATGATTATCCATGCTACCAGTTCATGTGGCTCTTTTTGGTTTTGCTGGGGCTAATGGTCTTTTTGAAACAAGCCTTCGGTTTATTCATGCTTTTAGTGCTGCTCTTGTGGTTCTTGCCGCTTCAACTGCTGCTGTCACTGGTATTAGTACTCCTTGTGTGTTGATGCTTTGGTTGGTAATATGTATACTATGGCCACGACAGACTGACCACGATTCTATCTCTTCTTCTCGAAATACTTGTAGCTGAGGGGCCACGTCCATTCTTGCTCCAGGAAAGCTATGGCTGGCAGCATGACTATGCGTGAGTATGAATTGGTATGTCGGTTCCCGCCGAATGCTCTGAAGGAATGGCACAAGCCTAAACCTTGCCCTGAACTCCAAAGCCGTCAATGTTGACGACCCTGAAGCTTCAACCTGAAAGTCGTAGAGCTTAAGATCGAGAAGCCCGTGGACCGTCTCCGCGAGGAGCTCACGAAAGAGACGTGGGACGATGCCGTGAGTGGCAAAACCGTGTTCGTAAAGTTCCTGGCACCATGGCCTCTTGACCGAACACACACTGGCTACGGCTTCGATTGGGTTGTAAATGCGTGCCCCAAGCGGCGGTACATATCTTGGTCATTCGTTATGCTTTTTCCTGCAGGTTGTTCAGTTTAGACTTTTTGGATCGCTTCCTCCTCGCGAAGATTTGTATGCCAACCTTGCAACTTATGGCTAGAACAGGCCTTTAGTTGTCTCACGCGTTAGGCTTGGGATATGTCTTATCCCTCCAGCCCTCAACCTTACGGTGTGCTTCTTCGTGCCGGGGAGTCCTGGAACATCCTTTCCCGAGGCTTTGCGGATCCAACAGCTTGGCTTTAGGATTCAGGGTTTGAGGCATGAATTGAAGGCCCCAGTTATTGATGGAGTGCTGCGACAGTTTACTCGGGAAGTCCGCTTGAGATGAGACCGTTTCGAGATGGATGCTTGAAGCGGAGCGCTATGATGAAATGGGCCCAGATGGACCCGGGCTGTGACCCGCGGTCTTTGCGTGACGTTGACTAGCTTCGGGTAGGTTTCCAAGCCCTGACGTCTTCTCGCCAATATCCTAAAGCATCAACTTGAAGCTCCGCAGAACGCCTACTACAGCAAGGGGAGTCCCAATTTGTTTACGCACCAAGACGCCGTTCTAGCTGTCCAGGCCCCTAAGCGCTAGACTAAGCCGCAAACCTCCTCCCAGGTGAGGACACTGCAAGAAGATGAAGCCCGATTGGGACAAGCTGATGAAAGAGTTCGAGGGCTCCTTCAGACCGACAATAAAAGCTTAGTCGGGTCTGTTCCGCGGGTTTATGCACACACCAAACCCAAGGAGCCCGACCTCCCAACATCTAGCGCTTACTGTACCCTTATAGTCCATATATCAGTAAACTATATATAGACTATAGACCCAAACCCCATTCTAGGTATCAAGGCTCCTGAATACAACAAGGCGGTATGGTATGGTCTATTGGGAGCCCATAAGCCCCTTCCAGCTGCAAGGCCTACGCCAGTTTGCTTTGAGTCTTCTCAGCGGGGCTTCGTATCTCCACTCCATTCTGAGCTTTCGGCTGTCAACCCTAAACCAGCCAGAAATGCTGAGCTACTAATGGAGATTCGCGGGCGAAGTCCCCAGCCTAAAGTCTATTTGTGCCAAGGCTCTTCAGACGTGCTGATCGCCGATGTTGACGCCGACTCTGCAAGCAGGGTCGTATACAGGTCTTCTGTTGGTGCTTAGGACTTGCGAATTTGGGGTTCAGGGCACATGAGCGCCGAGAATTCTTTTTGCGTGCATGCATGCATACGCGCTTATGCATCGGGGCACAGACCGAGACTTGAAGAACTAGCGCCAAAATTCCTCGGTGTTTCCTAAGCTGACAGCATTTTCTCGCATGATGTTTGCATGATGTTCTCCAACACCCTCGGCTAAGTGTTGAGGCGCAGATCACACACGTCCGTCTGTCCCAAAATGGGCGAGGCTTCTTAGACATGTTTGCCCCTTCTGCCTCATGTCAGCTCGAGGACTGCACCGCAGGCGGCAAGAGCAAGTGCGAAGAGGTGGGCATTCGAGGCCACGACGGTTTGGCGTTTTGGGGTTCGGGGTTTTGGGACAATCATAATGTTTCTTTGAAAGGGGGTGTTGGGGTTAAATGTGCAAGGAGTAAGGGGTTTGGGAGTTCTACGGAGCTATGGTGAAGAGTTTATGGTTCGGGGGTTACGTGGTGATTGTTTGAGAGTGCTGCCGCCGGGTTGTCGTATCTTCGGACTGACGCGTCAGGAATCTCGGACAGTAATACAGGCTTTTGAATCCATGCTCATATGTTATATACTCCATGACCCTATTCTAACTGCGAATCTCCCACTGTGGAGCTCCGGTTTCGGCTCGCTGCTTCAAAGATTGTTACACACACGGAGATGTGCGTGTGTGTATAACTGTATGCATGTGTATGTGTATGTGTAAGGGTATCTTTTTCTTGTTTCTGTGCATGTGCATGTATATGTATATGTATATGTAGATGTATAATGTACATACATATACATATACATACATACATGTATACAGATTCTTGTGTATGTGTTCGTATTTATTCAGTAGATGCCGAGCCCACAAGGGGTTTGTCAGAGCGCTCAGGCGGGTGGATCTCGGAATTGGATTTGCAAATGGGGAGGACCCACATCAGGATCCAATCCTGAAGCACACGGATTCCTTTCCTCAAGTTTTCAGCTGATTTTGAAGTAACTTTTCTGTAGGCCCTGTACCTTAAGCCGAGAACTTGTTAAATGTTGAGGTTGTGAAGAGTTGACTTCGCCTTTATCTTCCCACGCTCCCGAAGCCCTGAACCCTAAACAAAGCCAGGCTATCCTACGATCAAGTATGGGGACCCGGACGATCTGCAGGCCTGCTGGCTCTTTCCCTACGGTAGCGTAGCGGCAAAGCCCTACTACAGCTTCACCCTCAACCCTACTCAGCGGATCAGGGGACTTAGCAAGTCACATTAGAAGTAATTTCCGTGGGGCCATGCGTCTATTTCTAAGCATAGCTACTGTACTTATGACCCCAGCTACTAATCCCGTGATCGTTGAAGCAAGCCCTACACCTTGAACCCCAAACCGAAGCCTGAACCCTTGAAGCTCAGGCCGCACAGCCTCCTAAGCCGCAAAGCCGATCCCTCCCAAGCTCGAAGCCGATGGTCCGAGTCCTTCCTCCGCTTCTTGAGGGCCTGGGTTATGAAAGCGTATGCTGAATAGCATGGGCCGTAAGTCTTCCAGGCTTGAGAGAAGGGTAAGGGGGTAAACAGAACCAGGACGCCGAATCCTAAACTCCAGACCTTGAGCCCTAAACTTTTAGAACGTTAAGAGGAGAAGCCTGCTACACAAGACTCACACCCTTGCCGCAATGCTTGCATAGCCTGTGCTCTATCGCCCTGATTATACAAGCCTGTGGAGAACCCGTAAAGGAACAACAATTCCCCGAGACCCAGAATCATGCCGTTTTGTCCCTCATAGACACCCTCATAGCATCCTTACAAGCACGTCGCAGATATCCTCTAGCACCTTTTAAAGTGTGTGGCCCCAGGGAGACCCCCGCGAAATGCTGGGAATATTTGCTCCGCAGGATTACAAAGGTGGCCGCTCTTTCAGTGACCTCTCCACGCCGCTCGGCTTGAAGGAGCTTTGGGTTTAGGTATTATAAGATGCTGTGCTACTCGAGGATTGCTCCTCGGGCTTTCCGGCCTCTCTAGGCGACATCTGCCAGGCCAATAGCTTTCAAGTCCAGGGCATCACAGGTTGGCTTTCGGCTTCAGAGGGCTTTCGAGGATTTGGAGCGGTTTATGGTTCTAGGATCCTGGCGTTTACATCGGGAGCGCGGCAAAGCGTGGACTCAGCAAAGAGAGCTACAAGTCTTAACGGTCCAAGCATCATTAATAGTCATGAACACCGAAACCTTAGATTACCAACCCCACGAAAGCCTCGCATCACCCTCGCTGAACCCGAAGCCCTAGAATCCTAAACTCCTGTTTAGAGACTAGAACTTGCATAGGACGCTTTAGAACCCTACACCGTAAACCAGGCCCTAACATCTCAGCGCCGAAGCCTTCTCTCTTGCCCTGGGCCCCCCTGGAGCTGTGGGCCCAGGTTCGCGAAAGGCCTTGGACCCCAGTGCGGGCCAGCCAACAAGGACTGGTAAACACAACTTGGAGGTTCAGGGGCATTTAGAAGTGGGGTCATAAGTCCCCTAATTCGGGTTATAAGTATAGTTACCCTAGTTATAACCCTACTTATAACTACCCATGAACCTCGAAGAAGGGGATGGGAGGTTGTAGACTTAGAGTCGGAGGCCTTTAGGGTTCGGCTTTCGGCGTTGAGCGTCATCAACCCCACGCCCTGGATCCTTAAACCCAGGTCCAAGCGCCTTAATCCCTAAGCCGTAGACGCTTGAAGCTCGCTGGGAAGTTATAGCATAAGCACTGACTGAATCGGATTTGAGAAGGATCTGTGCGATGCGGACAAGAAGAAGCTGCTGGAAGAGTACATGGCCATGGATAGCTCGAAGCGGGAAAAGACGATCAAGGTGCCGACGGGTTTGGGCTGAAATGTCTGGGATCAGGATCGGGAGCCAGGAGTGCTTCGGTGTTAGAGTCGAAGGGGGGGAGTTGAAGGGTTCGCTTGGCTTTGTCCGCCTGGAGGGATTCTACAGACTGGCCGCGTCAGATTGGACCTATCTTCGCTTTATGGAGCTGCTTGAAGGAACTGTGCGCATTGATTTCTTGTCGGAGTCTTCGTCGCTGCTAGATTACGCTATGAAGTCATAGTCATGACGACCTGTTCAGATCAGCCTGTAGCCTGGTTACCTGCTGCGGCGATGCAATTTCGCCGCATTTGGGTTGAGAGAGAGGAACTCGCAGGGTCCATGAATACTCCAAGCATCTCCAAGCAACCCCGATCCCTCCCCCGCAGAAGAAATTTTGCATCTGTGCTAGGAGAAAGAAGCCGAGATCGAGAAGCTCGAGTCCGACTTCAAGCGCCTCGGGATCAACATCAGGGGGGCGAGAAGAAGGGAGTCAGGGCTTGCATGGAGTGGATGTATCGGACAACTCGTTAAATTAGCCAGCATGGTGAACCACGACCACGGCCCCCCACCCGCCTCCTCAAAGCCCGTATCCCGCAGTTCTACAGCGGCTCATAACACCACCAGAAACTGAGCCGAAGGCGCCCTTGAACTCCAAAAACTCAGAGCCTGCCAGGACCTTCGTGGAGGGACTTCAGAAGCAATACTCCGAAGCCAGCGACAAGAAGGATAAGGCCGACTGGCGGGGGGGAAGGGTGGGGAGGATTAAGAGATTACTGTAAGGGGCACCGAAAGAGACTCCAAATGTTGGGTTAGGGTATAAGAGATCCGAATAAGGGGGTTCTTGTCATAACGGGATGTCAAGTACCAGAAACCGCCCGAGGGATGGCGAGCTTGGGGTTTTGGAGTCTCAGGGCTTCAAGGCGCTGAGAGGAGTTTAGGTTCGAGGGATTTGGTGCGCGGGGCTTCGGAGAGCGGACAAGTATGTTTGGACGGCTTAGCGGCTGAAGTAGAAGCACATGCCCGCCCTAATCCTTCATTCCTACAGCCTTCAAGCCTACACCCTACACTCAAAGTCTGAACCCTCTACCCTTAAATCTGAACCCTAGGCCCTTAAGTCGTAACCCTGAACGTCCAGAGGATTCATGCAATGCTGATTTTTTGGGCCTCCGGTTTAGAGTTTAAAGGGCCAAACCCCAAAGCTGCACAAAGAAGAAGGCAGTCCCAGAAGCCTTGCAGAAAAGCAGGATGTGGAGGCCATCAAGAGCTCCGGCTTGGGTCTTCTCAAGTCCGTCCACTCCTACAGACGCTGGTCTCAAGGATTTGGCAATAGGCTGTTATCGGATCTTATCATAGGGGTCTTTTAGAGACTGTTGGTTCTGCAAAGTTGTCTGAGAAGGTATGTCATGAAGGCTGGCCTCGAAAGGATTTCGAACAGGTCTGCAGGGCTGTTCTGAATCAGGGTGTCGTGGGAAGCATATATCCCAACAGACGCTAGCCTCTGCGCTCCAGAAGACCAGAGCCTTGATTGCTTCAAATCCTAAATCTTTCGACCTAAACCTACACCAGCCGTGTTTCACTTAATGCTAAGACCGCTCCAGCGGAGCACTTGTTTTTCTTGAAGGCTCCCTGTTAGTCGACTCTTGCTGCGGCTCCAGAACCTCCATCCGGAATTCGGTATCCCGTAGCCGTGGGCTGAGGGTGAAGACTGCCCTGATTTTCACGTGCTCATTCTCGTCTAATGCTCTCAAACGCTTCTTATGCATGCATTTCGCATGTACACGGGCGAAGCCCTGAACTCCAAATTCCCAAAGCTTCGCTGAGTCCTAAACCCGGAACCCCGAGTAAGTCCCAAACCCTAAGCTCCAAAATCCCAAATACTAAGTGTACCTACGTCCTCCCTCAAGGGTATCTATAGCTGCAAGTTTTGAGGAACCCTATTCCCATCGTTAAGGCCGGTCTGATCAGCCCTCTCTGTCAGGCAAGAAGGCCAAGTCTGAGCTGTAAAGGCAGCTCGATCCTTTTGGGCCTCGGGGCCTGTGGGATGAGGTTAGTAGGGTTTAGGGGTGTTTGGGATTCTGAGTTCTTGATGCTCATAGCTTCTTTTATCAGGTATGGGATTCTAGGGCTACAGTCGGAAGCCCTCCTGGAGCAATGGCTCGTCTCTGAAGTAGGAAGGAGATGGCCGAGGGTGTGGACCCAATTTTGCCTGCAGCACTGCCCGGTTTTCATGGCCCCTCCGGAAGCTGACGCATGATACCCGAGCATGTGGGGTTTTGAACCCCTCTGTCTTGGGAGGACAGTTGGCTGGAGTGTCGGCCTCTGTGCAGTTTTATGCAGGAGTCCTGTTGATAGCCACACCCAGAGCCGAAAATACGTTTACAGAAAGCACGCAAGGGAGAATGCATGTCTAAACCGTATATAAACCCCACGCCTTAAAGACGACTGCAGATCGGAAGCCTCCCTGCGTTGCGGACCATTCGGCCAAGATGCCGTGCTCGTGCGAGAAAGCAGCTCCGTACGGAGTGCCGGATGTTCAGATTTCGGGCCACGACGTCAACTTTCGTGTTGGCATTTTGCTTCAGTGTTGGCGGTCTCAGCCTCTATTGTCTCCAGGGAGGATTCCCGATTGTTCTAGCAGCGCCGGCACCACCCAGTCTCGAATCATGTGAAGGACAGTCTAGCATTACGATGCCCACATCTCATTTGCCCCTATCCGCCCCCCAATCCGAAGCCCCAAACCCTCGACCCTAAACCACAAATCTCAACGACCATCATTCCGAAACTTCGCATTCCATACCGTGAGCCATTCCTGGACTTCCTCGCCTGTGACAGGATCTCCTAGACGACCCGGAGGGTTCGCAGGCTGGATTCGCAGGGGCCAAGGGCTACAATGTACTGTACATGGGTCGGTACATGTACAGAATCCCTTTTGCAGGAAGAGTAGGATAGGCATTAGGGCGAGTGTGTGGAAACCCCTGCATGCGCAAGACCGCACAAGGGCGGGCGCAAGGACTCCTTGTGCCTAGGAATGGCTACTTTGATTTAGAACATCATCCATATATGTATGTATATATGTATGCTTCTATGTACATGTGTGTGTGTGTGTGTGTGTCAGTGTGTTTGCGTGTGTGCACATGAGGCTTCGGAGAGTTGTCGGGCGGGTTGTTCCACAATAGCTGGCATTAATAGCTGGCATTAAGATGGAGCTGTGCTAAGTCGCGCACCTTCTCAAGCAAACGTGGTCGTTATTGTCGCGGTTGCAGGTCTGATTTCAAACATCACCCACGCCCACGAAGGGCCAGGATGTGATGGCGCGATCATGAGGAAGGGGAGGAGCAGGCAGAAAGAATGAGCAGGTGGTGGTTTCGGATGGCGATGTTTCGCAGGAATCACAGGACCCCGTCACATAATACGTGAATAAGCGCAACAAAGTTGTTATTGTCATCTGTATCCTTCTTTCTTAGACTTCTTGCTATTGTCAGCTTAATCATTGTCATTTACAAATACAATCATTTGGCTGATTATTCTCTTTAGTGTTACTAGAGAATTTATCATGTTCAATCCTCAGGTTATCCTGGAGCCTCCATACACCTGTTCAGCCACTACCCCGTTGAGTACGCCTTCACACCTGAGCCCACCAACTTCGCTTATAAACCCTAAGCCCTTCAGACCACAATACCCAACTTCCTGAGCCTGATCCCGACAGGGCTTCTGCCTGCTCAACAACGTCGCCATTGGGGCCGCGTACGCGTTTCGATCTCGGGGGCATGATCCAGAATAAGTAGGGGTTATAGGGTATATGGGTTCATTCAGGGATTGTAAGGCTCTTTGTAGGCCTTTTTGAGTGATGAATGAAGGTTTGGTTCTGTGTTCGGGGAAGTTTGGAGAGGGTTTGGTTTGACCGTTTGACCTTTGGGGTTTTCTATGAAGTACGGAATATGGCCTTTCAGACTCTCTCTTTGGGCGTACTGTGGACGCATGATTCATTCGAAAGGTCTTTTAGGGATGCTTGCTGTAAATGTATACTGCAATACACCCCAGGACCCCATTCTAACTCTAAGAAGGCCCCTCTGTTATCCTGCTCTTTGAACCGCCAATGGTTGCATTTAAACGCCCTGGACTCTGGACTTGAACTCTCGGTAGGTATACAGGTCGGAACAATTGGAAAGAGTGTCCCACTATCTAGGGTTTTAGGGTTGAGGGCTTAAAACCGTAGGGTTTGGGGTTAACCGGGGGGTTCCTCTAAATCTAAGGAGCTCTTGGTGATCGGCTGCTCTCGCTATGTCCCAGGAAGTATTCATCAACCCCTTCATAGGAGAGCGCAACATGGTCGAAGCACAAGTCCCCTGAAAGCACGAGAAGTCTTCTAAATCTGTTTCATGTGGGATTATACATGCGGAGAGTGCAAACCATGCGTCATTTTGAATCTTTTCAGTCATGTTCCTGGCTGGGCCTTGCTTCAACACTTGGAGACCAAGGCGTTGCGTCTACCGCCATCTCATCCACAAGGCTTTTTGGGAGGGTTCGGTATGCGGCGCGGCGGGTTGGGGCAGATTCGCGGGGCCCGTGAAATCACAGCGAACCAGAATTGACATGGTAAGCGTAGTAAGCGTTCGGTCTGCACCAGCAGGAGGACATCGGGTAATATTCAATTTATCACTGCGCTACCGTAGTCCTCGTTATCATCACCAGCATTACCGTCATAACCACCGCCACCATCGCCAAGAGTATCATCCTCATGACCAAACATCACGACGGGAAGCTGAGGTCTACGAGATGGCTTCGTAGGACTTAGGACGCCATGTCTTTTCGATGCTCACTGCGCTCAGACAGTAGGAGTGCCCAGCGTTTTCTAGCTGGAAGTTTCACAGAGCGTATGGAAGACTTTCGGTTGGACAAGAAAGTGCAGGGCCCAAGCCTGGATCCCAAATTGCCAAGAAACGGATCACCCGAAGCTCCATGCGAAATGGGTGGGCAGTGTCGTGTAGAGCAGACATTGCCACCGAAGTCGCTGCAAATTTCGGATTAGGGAAGCAACATCTCCGAGCATGCGGCAACCCCAGAATCTAGTTTCTCAACAGACTCCGGCCCTTGCAAGAATTGGTACATTCTGCACAACCTACTGTTCAAGCATCGGAAGAGACCCTAAACCGAAAGGTTGCCATCATCGATTTCGATGTGCACCATGGAAATGGCACAGAAGCGATTGTTGGAAGCCCAGCAACGATCGTTGAGGGCTCTTTCTTGTGATGTTGAATGCGGAAGCCTGGAGCACTTGCCCGTACTATTCGGCAGTATAGCATAACCCACCCCGATGCCCGAAGCGTCAGCTCCCCAAATCCTTAAGCCCTACGCGGTAAATCACAAGCAGCCAAGCGGAATAAGCATGGGGCTTCCTGTAGCCAAAGGTGGGTCAGCCTCTGCCGGATCACTTTGTTGAGCGGAGTTTTTTGGATTCATAGGGCTAGCGTTTCGATTCACGGTTATGGCTGAGGTTAGAGCTGGGGTCGAAATTCGTAGTGATGTTATTGCTTGACGCCACGTGATGTTTGGACACTGTCCCCAGAGTCTGCTGTAATTATCGCGGCACCGTCACTGCACCTCTAGTAGGGTTCAAGGCTACACCGGGTTGCTAGCATGACCCTTTTGGGGCTTTTGGTTTAGGGTGCCTGAAGCCCCCCCCCCCCCCGCCCCGCATCGTGATCCGAGTATTCCTGCTTAAGAAATCCAACCCCCGTTGCTGAGAAGAAAGCTGCTAACTATTTAGCTGCTGAAGTTGAGGCTTCAGGCTGTGTAATTGAAAGCAAAAGCTGTGATGCGCAACTTCAATGAATGTCCAAGGTGAAGAACATGCGCCCGCGGCCAAATGTGCCTCCCGTAGACCCTGCCTGTTTCAGGTTTACTACAGTAGGAACAGCACTCCGTGCTCTTTTGGGGATGTCATCATAATCCTGCTCACTTTTTCCATCATCATTACCTCTGACAGCAGAATCAGCACCACAATAGTCTGTGCTTTCAGAGGGTGCAGCATATGTCATGAGACAGTTTTGCTCTGGCAGCAGCGTACACGTCCATGCGTCCAACCCAGGCTACTGTCAGCAGATACATCCAACCGTAAAAGACCGCAAACCCTATAAACCCCTAATCCCTAAACCCCTCAATCCCAGACGCCTAAACCCCTAATTAAACCCTAAGCCCCGAATCCGGTTTGCCCAGCCCAGAAGGCCCCGCCCTCAAAGTTGCCAGGGTGTGGGTGGGACGAGTAGGGTTTAGGGACAGGGCTTTGTCCACTTTACTCGATTATTCTTTTGTGTTTGGCTTTGATGGTTCGGATATCCAATGTGTTCGCTTGTCTTCTAAAGGGGCGTAGAGAAGATATGATATACACTGGCCAGGAGAAGAGCGCAGCTTACTTCCACGCGGGTCATCTGATGAGGCCATTCGGGGACCAAGTTTGGGCTTTAGGGTGTTGGCCCTGACTGTGACTAACCCCTCAAGCCACAGCCCGGAACCCCAGAACCGGGAATTGAGGCTTCTTTGGCTTGGCAGGTTTGCAATTCAGGCTTCGCAGCATGTATCGAGAGCCTGGTTGGGAGCCCGTTGGGAAGGAATCAGGCCGCTAACCTTGATCCTAGAGCCTACACACCCTCAAACTTCGAACTTTCGGCTGAACCAGTAAATCCGCAACCAGAATTCCAAGGCCTCTGATCACTCAATCCTGACTTTTCAACTCTAGCCTATATCCCCTCAACTCAGCCGAGTCCTGAATCCTAGAACCCCTGAACTAGAGAACCCGCACCTCAAGTCCCAAGCTGCATCATGTCGGAGCATACTCCCTTCCCGCATCCCAGCCGAAGCCTGGTCAGAGCTCTTCCCTACGACAGCTGGCAGCCCAAAGCCCCGAAACTCGAAGCTCCCGAAGCTTCGACTTAAGCCCCAAGCCCTGGAGCGCTCCCCCCCTGCTACTGCGGAGTCTCGAGGATAACTCACACGCCTGCGCCCAGCTGCAAGCTGGAGTCCTAGAGCTCTGAGGGTCTTAGCGTTTTGGGTTTGGGGGGTTCGGCCGGCTTTAGGGCTTTGCGTTCTGGATTTATTTTGAAAGCTTCAAAATTACTTGTTGCGGCCTGGGGTTTACAGCGTGAAGCTGTCGAGGGCTCCAGCTGAAGATTTTCCTCTGCCTTCATGGACCGGGGCAGATCAGGGTTTCGCGGGCTTAACCGTAAACCCTGAGTACCCTAAGCCCCATACCGTACACTGGAAAACCGTATAGTAAACTGTCAATCCCATATATCCCTAGCCTGAGCCCCCCGTCCAAAAACTCTAATGCCCCGGCATAAACACCAGATTCAACACCTTAGAGCTCACCCAGCGTGGTCCGGAAAAGATAAAGGCTTCGCAAATGAGATCCTGACCCGTGTGACCCCAATCTGTTCAGCGTTCGCGGTTCAGGGGTTTATGGGGCGAGACCCTGAACCCTAAACCCTGGATGCTGCTGTTCGTAGGTCCTGGTTCCTCAACCTTGCTTGAGAGACCAAAGTCCGATCGACCAGCTTGTAGCCTACTCTTTATTGATGCCCGCTTATACTCACCACAGCAAAATCGTGGATCCGAACCCTGAGGCCCAACCCAACCCAAGCCACAAGAACCCTTGCAAAGCTGGGCTTAGGGATCGAAAGAAAGCTACGAGGCCTTGGCTGGATCCGGATGCAGATGTGGAGAACGTGTTCTTTGCGTCCGGGGCCCTCCAGGAGTTGGGCCTTTTCTACTTAAATTTAGGGTTTGAGGGTTTTAGGGCTCAGGGTTTAAGGTTTGAGGGTTCAGGATTGTAAGGTTAAGGGCTTGGGTCGGGTTTAGGAATTGAGGATTTAGGACGGCAGGGTTTGGGGCTTATGGTGAGGATTTCGGATTTTCGAGATTCTTTACTGGGGGCATGGGGCTCAGGCGGTTCTTCGGGTCGGTCAAGCCGTGTCCTTGGGCATACGTCTGGAGTAGTGTAGAGGAGTTTGGCTTGCGACTCTAAGGATTTCGAGGTGGAGTTTTTGAGGCCTAGGCTGGTTTGGTGGAGCTTCTGGCCACTTCCAATGTGGGCTTGGGAGCAGAAGCCAACCACATGACGGCTCGGCTCTTGTGGCTTAGAAATTTTACTTAGTCTACTTACTGCTTCGCCCATGTATACTCGACAGCCACCATAGAAAATCCCCATCTTACGATAGCCCTACTTACCACATCAAGCGGAGGTCCCTGTTAGAGCCTCTCAGTGTGCACGGTCCTAGACTGCAACGGCTTTCGCAAACCCAAGACATCGATCGAGCCCGAGCTGTCTCCTCTGAGAGCAACCAGGAATCAAAAACCCTCTCAGAAAGAGCCTTCTTGTCTGGCAGCTCCCTTCAAAATTGGGATCCGGATGTAGCGGCGCAAGCTACATGTGTGGGGAGAATCAGTCAAAGTCAAAAGAGGGGCAATGGGTTTTTGAATTGTGACATATAGACCCCGAAGAGTAGGATTCTTCTTCCAAGGATCAAGGACACTTGAAAGAAAATGCTATATACATCTACTTAAAGCTGTGCAAGCCCCGTTAGCACCATCATTGAACCCTACAGACACTTCGAGTAGGGCCGTATAGCAAAGCTCTACAGATCCCCATTTGGGACTTTGATCCTCAGGTCCATCCATGGGTTTGGAGCCGGCTTCTACCCAGGCGTGCATTGTGCAAGGGTTCCATCGTGAGCGCAGATGTACGCGTGCGAAAAGTTGGCTACGCCGGTTCCGCAGGGTTCCTCATTACAATCATAGTAACTTCCTGTTTCGATTTTTCTAACCACTGAGGCCTCTATATATTGCCGGGGTTCTCGCTTTGGATGTCGGGGCGCGGACTGTGGCATTGGAGCTCGAGGTTTCTGGCTCCGACGGTGGGGAATGGCCCCTTTAGGGTTGCGTTTGGCAGCTCTGTGAAACTGAGGATGATACAATTTGACTAGGTATGTTTGGGTCCACGTTGACGGGTCCCTTCTAGTGAGGACACATGTTTAAGCACTCACCTTTCCCTGCATGCCAGTCTTTGCAGGGCCCCGAGGTGACGGCTGGAAAAACGCCTAGCTAGCTTAAGTCCGGTAGCAGCGTGCTTACCCTCAGTGCTGAAGCCCTGAACCCCGTGTGGAAAATCCCATCACTTCTACAGTTGTTTAAGCCCCAAGTTCTTGTATTCCAATGCCAGGCTCGGGGAAGACAGCCGAGAGCACCAAGCCAAGGACGAATCAGGGCCTTCCGAGCTTAGCGTTTAGGATATATATAATGGTTTAGGGTTTAGAGTTTCTGAAGTAGCAAAGTGAGGAGTCTCCGCCTTGGGTTTTGAAGTGTCCTGTGGTGTTTTGTGGGTCATGGGTAAGGTTTGAGGGTTCGGGCCACCTGGGGCTTTGGGGCCCAGGGTTCAGGATTTTGGGTGATCTTGAAGGCTTTCAGGTTTTGAGTACTCTAGTTTAGCTTTCGACTTGGAGGGAAGTTGGGAATCCCTTCATGAGACCAAAGGCCTAAGGCCCCTTGAAGCCGTATTTGGTGCAGAAGTGTTCAGGCTTGCTGTCATACTATCCCTAAGTAGGCACACATTCGAATATAGGCCTGTCAAGACTGAAACGGAGAGTCGAAGCGAGGCTCCACCAGGGCCCTTTGGGGTGTACGGCGTCGCCCGTGGATCCTTGGCTCCGCGAGCCAGAACTCCCCAAGTGACGGCAGCCTCAGAACCGCAAGGAAGCCCTCTCCTGCGAGCTGCTGCTTCCCCGCTCCCTGTGAAATCCCAGACCCCCGAACCCAACGAAGCCCGATCCCTCAACCCGTTCATCCTTCTTCAACCCTGAACCTGAGCTTAGAAGACCCAAGTAAATAAGCCATGGTAGAGGCCATAGAAAGCAGATTTAGCCGCAGAGCCTCTGGGCAGGATCATCAACGTGGGCCTGCGCAGAAATTCTGGCCCTGTGGACTTCCGCAAGGGTATGAGGCCAGCCCAGTTGCTCTTTGGGATTTGGCCGTGAACACCTCTAACGAAGGAACTCGCAGTCTTTTCAGAACGGTTCGAGGGGTTTTCGCTGGGATTTTGCACCTTAGTGTGCCCAGGGTTTGGGATTCCAAGGTCCGAGCTCAGGGTCAAATCTGTCAGCGGTCAGGCTCGGGTTTGGGATTTGAACAGCGAGGTGTGGTGTGCTGGGTAGCGTCCTTCTTTCCAGCTTTGACAGTTTTGCGGGTAGCGTCGAGAGATTCAGTGGAGAGAGAGTGTGTGTGTGTGTGTGTCTGTGTGTTTGTGTGTGTCTGCGCTACAACCTTTGCGGCCTTATTCTTTGCATCGGGGTGTTCGAATACAGGGACTGCATAACTGTATCCTCTTTTAGTCTCTGTCAAAGTAACAGTAGAACAGTTCCCCGAAGCCCTGTTCTAGTTACTGAGATTGTGATCCAGATATAAATGATAAATCTGTTGATATGTGTGTATACATATGCACATGTTAGCACGTCGGTATAATTTCCACGAGTTTTCGCCGTCACATGGAGGTCTGGATTTCATCAAAGTTTTTAAGTCGTTTTTAAGTCTCATGGCTAACGTATGCTGGGGTGTCGGGCTAGGCATGTATATACATATTGCGGAGGGCCGAAGGGTGTGAGGCTTCTGCATTTATCTTCAAACCTCATTTGTTGTTTTCAAGACCTCGCTGTGGGGTTCAATCGGGCAGCAATGACGGGTCCACAGCAATCCTGTTCGTTGTGTCAACAGGAGTATCTAACCCAAAGTGGCAAGAAACAGCAGACCCAAACATGAATAGGATTTAGTTTCGAGCCGTATTGCAATTACTACTCTTCAGAGAGAGTTATGTGCAGACAGGTAACTGTATTCTGGAGGGATAAGAACTTTCCTGGAATCTGTTGCAACTTGTTGATGCTACTGCTACCACATGTCCCAGGTTATCTCGATGGAAGAATTTGCCTTTCGGTGCCTTTCTTCTTCAGCCGCACTTTGGAGCTCCCAAGCCAAGCATAGGGAAACGAGTCTTCGGGATGAACTTGAACCCGAAACCCTAAACCTCAAACCCTAACCCTACGTACCGCAGAGAGGCTCGGGGTAACCGACTGGCCGCTGCAAACCAAAGGGTCCCAGGTACTTTTATCATAGAAAGCAAGTCAGGTTCCTAGAGTAAGAATTACTAGTATTCGGGGTGAGTACTGTATCCCCGACAATGATATTTACTTTGGGACTGGCTTCCCAGAGACCTCAGCCCCCAAACTCGAAGCTTTGACACCACCAATAATTACCAAGCTCTGCGAGCCGCAGAGCATCGCAAGGTACCGGATACTTCCCGCGCTGCAGGCGGCTTGCTTCAAGTGTTTTCGTTCGTAGTAGCGTTCTGTTATGGTCTCTATATAGTTCGTATAGGTTTACCCGAAACCTGATTCCAGTCGTTATTCGAAAACTCTGGACTCAAGCTCCCTGTGCAGGAGTTTTCGCCCGATCTGATTTTCATTTCCGCTGGCTTTGATGGCCATGAGGCCGGGAGATGCAGATGCGTGTGGGTGTAGGTTTAGGTTTAGGGTTTAGGGTTTAGGGCTTAGGGTTTAGGGTTTAGGGTTTGCTTTAGGGTGTTGGGATCAGAGTTTGGGGTCTCGGGCTTAAGGCTTCAAGGGTTTAGGGTTCAGGGTTGACGGCCATGGGCCTCGGTTTACTGTAGACCAACCCCGTTTCTTTGAGGGCATTATATGAGGATCCTACTATAATGGTTTTACTCACTTTGCGGCGGTTTGGTAATCAGGTGATTGCATTTTGTGAACATAGGCGATAGGGTTCGGTTGAGGCCTTGGGGATTTGGGTGTAGGCTATTGATAAGGGCCCCTTTTTTGGAAGTTTGGTCTGCGTTTTTTGCGAGACATGAGAGACACATCACTCACTTATCGGTCGCTTCTTTGGGTTTAGGTCTCAGGGTTTAGTATCGATCAGGGCCCTCTGAATTTCCGAAGCCGTCATCTCGAGAGTAGGAGTTTTGAGGGCCTGGGGGATTTAGGAGTCATGGGGCTTTGGGGATGAGTTTCAGGGAAACGCAGCCACTACGTTTCCCCTTCGGTTTCAGTCTCCAGCCGGAGCTTTGGCCCAAGGCTTTGCGCAAACCTCAGATCGGAAAGTTAAACATAGATGCCGGTAGAAAGTGCGAAGGTATGGGAAATGGCCTCAAGTTGAATCCCGGCGTGACTTAATCGTATCGTATCTTATTCAAACCATTACTTCGTGACTCAACCCTCAGCTACGTCAACAACGGACCTTCTGCTGTTTAGACTCGAATAGAACGCAAGACATCTCAACGTACTTGTTCAACCCCCTTCAAGTCGAGCAGAGAGGACGACCTCATCGGCTGCTGTAGCCTGAGCGAAGAGGACACACACTCCGGCGGGAGAACTTCCCATTTTTGGGTGTAGGGTTTCGTGTTCAGGGATGATTGCTTATATATATATATATATATATATATATGTGTGTGTGTGTGTAAAGTGAAAGTACAAGAATCACCCAAAGGTTTGGGGGTCGGAACGGTGTCTTTCCTGCAATAAACTATACACACACACACACACACACTCTACTCCATGTAGACTGCCGCCCCTACACCCCAAACCCCGACCGCAAAAAGGCAATCCCTGAGCCTTAAACCAAACCCTAATCCTTCCTAGGACTACGTCTGGGCGACTCAACAGCTGATGGCAGTGGCCAACCGCTGTTGTCTCGTGCCCAGCTGATTCATCAAACTTGCGAGATAAAAGCCAGGCAGGTTAGTGTATCGGATTGACCCCCAATCTTTTGCACCATGTGTTCTGAGTTGTGGGATGCTTGGTGGCACCTGTGATGCTCAGCCACCCACCTAGGGCATCATCAACAAGGACCCCTACAAGAAGAGAAATCCTAACAACAGCCTCTGCACAGCCAGGACATCGTTCCGTCCTTTGTGGTGTGTGTGTGTGTGTCATCGATGTGAAAGCAAGCATCAGTTTTGGACTACCTTCAAACGGGTCTCATCCCGGCAGTGCCCCGGTTTTCTTTGAGCAGTTGTTATTGCGAATCGGGTTCCTAGCCTAGCTTTCATTCAGCTGCTCCTACCTACCGTGCTTATTAGCAGATGCTTGTCCAGAACAAGGAACGCTTGACCTTGGAGCCGCTAGCCCTCTGTGATTCAGTCGAGCCCCAACTCACACGAACACATCATGTTTCCCCAGGGCACAGGCCGACTCTTCAGCTATTTGCGTTTAGCATTCGAAGAGCCATCGAAGTTGAGTACTTAGAACCATTCGAGAGTAGACTCTATCCGAGACTGCATCCGTCGCAGGGTTTGGACTTTGGCCCTATCCCCCCCCTCCCCAGCTCCACAAGTGCAAGCAAAGTCCCGTTGCCGAAGCGCGACAATGTGGAAGAATATTGGTAGTTATTCATGCCCTAAATTTCGTGTCAACGCTGAGACAAGAGCCTGGACAACTAGACTAGATCCCTGCAAAACCGCAATGTCCAAATCCTGAAGGCGAAAATGCCCGCAAAGGCAATCCGGAATCCCAAGCCTGCACACGGCCTGGTACTCTTGACCACCACCCTCAACGCACACGCCCCGAAAAGCACATAAAACCCCCCGGGCCCCCCAGCACCCAACAAATCTTCACCGACGACAAAGAGCCTCAAGACGCCTTCAGCAAGAAGGTCAAGGCCGCTTAATCTCCGTCTTGGAGGGTGGCTACAACACCCGAGCTGAGGCGAAGACAGTTGAGAGAGCGGGGGCGGGGGTTTGGAGAGCCAGGATTTCAATTTGGGGGTTGGGGACTGTATGTTGACAGCCTTACACGCCGTGCTTGTAAGCTTTGCACTTTGGATCATATCATGACCCCGAAGGAAATCGAAAGCTTAAGTAAGTCTTAGGAGCTAAGCTCGTTCTGCGCGTGGTGTGTGCGTAGACTCTAGTTACGGCCTTCAGCACCAAAATCCTGACAGCCGTGGCGGCCAATATTACAGAAGTCTGCAAACTGATCAGCATGATGAGGATGCAATTTATGAAACAATTGAAAGACCAGGCCTAACAGTGTTTCGGCCTTGATAGTAACTTCCGTGAGGCACTGTCGCCATTTGCTGCGGCTGTGACTGCTCACGTGCCGGGGCCCCATCCTACTTGCTGGGTGCGCAACAATGAACCTGACCCTAACAATGAACCTAAGAGTTATATTGTACATCAGGAACCCCATCATCCTGAACCCGAAACTTGAACCCTAAACCCCTGCAATCCCTCGGCGACTAAGCGGCCCGGAGAGGACCTTGCAGGGACGTTTGGGGCTTAGGTCATTAGGGCTCCAGCAGTTTGGCTCACGCAACCCGGAATCAGAATCCTTCGGGTTTGGGGTCGGGGGTCCCGGGGCTTTCGAAAGCCAAGGTTCAGAATTCGAATTGAAGGTCTCAGGTTTGCTTTTGTGGTGCTGGGATCTGGATTCGTGTTGTGACGTCAGCCGTTGTGGGCAACACTGCCGACAAGACAGAGCCCCATGTTTCCGGGGCAATCCTAAGCCCGAATCCCGAAACGACTGTAAACTTGAAATGCTCTCAACTGTTTGATCCATGCTTGTAAGGGGAAACCCGAAACAGGTTGTCCTTAAGATCTAGATGCATATCTATTTATCTATCCATCCGTCTACTTGTCTATCTACCTATCTATCCACCTGTATATGTATAAATGTGTGTAGAGTCACTGTAAATGACATGCTTTGGGTGTTATGGTAATGTCCGTAACACTAGACGAGTAAATCTTGCAACCCCAGATTCAGATGAGCCCCCACAGGCCTTTCAAAGTCTGGTCATCTAAACAAAGTGCCATGACCTAGTCCCTGTACATGAAATTCTTCGTGCCTTCCTCTAAACCCAAAACCCTGAACCCTAAACCCTGAACCTTAACCCTAAACCCTGAACCCTAAGCCTTAAACCCCAGGAGGACGCTGATGTTTACCAGCCAGAACTACAACTTTCTCGACTACGAGGCGGACAGTCACATGGAGCACGCATGGTGCCCTTGCATGGTGCATATGAGAGTTTCCGAAAATAAGGGGTACCTTATTTAGGGGTCCCCTTATAATCAGGATCCTACTATCTCGGGTACTATATTAGGGTCCCCTGTTTCCGGAAATCCCCATTTTGTACGATGTATCCCCAGCCCCTTGTCCGTTGAGTTTGCCACTGTACTCGGCCTAGAGGCAAGTAATCCGTCGTGATAATGCTTCGTGACGGATAGCCTTTACCCGTTTCCTGCACCGCATCTCTTAGTTGCTGAAGGGTCAGTGACAAAAACACTCAAACGCGGTTTCCTGAACATGTCATTTTCCCACCGCAAAGGAAATCGTGATAGGCTGTAAGCTGCTGAAACCCCAAATAGCCGAATGCCGTCAATATGGATCGGAATACTTAGTGATAGTCTCGCGCTACACCATTTATAGTCCCGAATGTGTAAACACAGTAGAGAGGAGAGTGCACCCCAAACTTCTGTTAATAATAGAATCCCGAGCAGCAGGTTTGATTTTAGGTGTTAGAGGTTAGGGTCACGGGCATGGGGTTTCTGTATGGGTTTAGGGCTTATGTGGTTGAGGGACAGCGCCAACCAACGTTATTTCAACAGGGCTGGGCGTACATCAACAACTTAAAGAACTGCTTCGTGTTCCTACATGTACTACCACTGAGAACGAACACTGCGAGCAGCCCACGATCGATAGCTCTAGCTGCTACGCTTGACTTGAACCCTTTTCTTTTCTTGGTGATGCTCATTTGTGGAGTGCAGACAGTGCAGACCGCCTTAAGCAGCAATGGCAACAGCGATGAGCATGAGAAAGCGCCTCCCAGGCAGAGTTGGCTCCTGGGGATGAGCGGACCCAGGTGCTTCACCGATTACGCGGGGCATTTTTTGGATGCCAAGCTTGTGACTCGAAGATACGACTTATGCCGAAGCCCTAAAGAGTATATATGGGGCTTGATAATTTCGATAGGGCCTCAGGGTGTTGAGGTGTATTTTCATTATACAAATCTCAAAATCCACAAAGTGGAGTTTCGAGTTGTCACATTGGTTGAACTCAAGCAGGGAAGTTCTCAGGACGCCACCTACTCATTTAGATGTCGGTATATGTCACGAAAGCAAAGTGGAGTATGTTCGTTTGTTAAGGCCTTGATAGGGTTATCTGAGATTTTGCGGAGGTCTTTGATAGGCCGGGTGGGTGAGCTTGAAGGGCGTGGAGCAAAGTGCCTTAGAGCTCTTGGTGTTTAGAGACATGCAATCGAAAATCTAATACACTATGTGATATTATAGTAGTATTGTAAATTATGCTATTTTCTCTGCTATGTTATACTATATTAGTATATTGCATGTCCCTAAACCAAAAGCCTCGAAGGCTTAGGGGAGTCTCCCGGCACCTTCCAGGTTATGAAATTGAAGAAACCTGTGGGTGACGCTGAGTTTGGAGTTTGGTAGGGCTGATGGGGTCTGGGACCCAAGGTGAGCTCGGGCTTCGGGTTTCCTCGTCTTCAGCTTCGTCCGAGTCCGCGGTTCCCTCTTAGCTTGTTACCTGTGCTGCCAAGTGTCTGCCCTGCTATCCGGTGATTCACTGTGCTTGCTTAATGTAAGGGGCCTTCGTAATTACCTATACTATACTATTTTGGAGGGTCCTTGTTATATTTGTAGTATAGTGGGCCCCAAAATCCTATTCTAATTATTACGGCCCCCATATTAGGTACCTGTGTGCTCGGGTCCGTCTCGTTTCGTGAAGTTCATCTGCCTGCTTTTTCGCTATCCCAAAAATGACTGCTTGATCGTTTTCATCATGCTGAGCAGACCACTTCAGGCAAGATCAGGCGCAGTAAAACTGTCTGCAGAGGTGGTTGAGCTGCATTGCAAGATGTACAGCAAAGTCAAGGCATCAGTTGTCCCTATGAGCCGCCCTTGCTCTGTGCTTGCCGATCCTCGGTGAGTTCAGGGCCCGCAGCCCTAAACTGCTACGCTACTCTGCTGCAAAAGCTAAACTCCTAAACGCTCCTATATGCGACCAGGCAGAACTCACTGAATCTCTGAAATTTCAGCGACGGGAAGAGGCCGCCAGCCATTGGGATTTTTGTCCATGCTATTCGCTACTATACTGTACTATGCTGGTCTAGTCTAGTCCAGTCTAGGCGAGTCTGGTCTCTGTCCATGTTTGTTCTGGTCTTGTTTAGAATAGTCTAGTCTGGTCTAGTATGCCATGGTCTGCCATGCCATGCATGCCATGCTGTGGTACTCTGCGCTGCGATATGCCCATCATTCAGGTTCAAGGTTCAGGGTTTCGCAGTTTTGAGTTTCGGTGTTTAACGCTAAGACTTGTGCAGGGTGCAGAAGATTGGGTGGGTAGCGTATTAAGTTTATTGTGTCTCGATAGTCCGAAGACATCGAGGTAGCTTCATCGGCTAGGTACGCTGGTTTCAGCATGTGTTCTTAAGGAACGTCCTCAAGGCACTGTCGGTCAAATTAGGTCTTCGGCTTGGGCATTTCCTCGGACTACGTGCTGTCGTGGATTCGGGTCGAATGCGTTTCGGTAGAGCCACAGGCAGTGCAACTACGACAGGCGCCGTAAACAAGTATTTCAATCCATGCCGGTGCACTTGTGCAAACAGCTCGCGCCACGTGCATACATCGCCACGGCCTTACACCACACCCTAGACCTCCCACCCAGCACCCTCGGAGTGCGAGAAAAATCCCAGTAAAAGCCATAGGCCGTAAGCCTCTGCCAAATCAAGCCTCATAATCCTCGGCTTAACCCGAACCCCAAACCAAGACCTGATACCCAGTACTTTTCCGTACCCATGGCAGAAATTTACAGGAAACCTTGTAGTAAGCTTATATACCTATGATCCACCATTTATACCACGCCTCAAACTCCCCTTGAGCCGTAAGCCCTGACATCGAAAAGAAACCCTAAACAAAACCCTAAACCCTGAACCCTATACGGAAATCCTCAACGAAACCCCAAACCCAAGTTCGAAACCGAAACCCTGAACCCTAAACCCTGCACGCCCTAAACCCCAGACCCTGCCTCCAAGCATTCAAAAGGCCAAGCGCCTGCGTCGGAAGCGAGCCAGAGGCTTCACCGGAGGCCGCCGGCGCGCCAAGAAGGCCAAACGGGAGGGTTTGCTGTTTTGGGTCTAGGGGTTTAGGGTTGGGGGGTTTAGGGATTAGGGTTTGGGGGTTTAGGGTTTAGGGTTGATGTAGGATTCAGGGTTTAGGGTTTTCGTACAAGTTCTACGATTGGGCTTAAGGCTTTTACGGGGTTTGGGGTTTAGAGCTCAGAGGACTTCGGTGCTCATTGTAGGGTATGGTAGGCCTTCAGTTTATTGTAACTCAGATTTGGTTAGAGGGCTTAGGGCGGGACTTCAGGCGCGGCTTCCTTTGCCAGCAGCTTTATAACTCACCTCGACCCAGAGTCCATTCCACAGGCGAAGGAAGAGGACGACGAGAAAGCCGAACAGGAAGACGAGAAGGTCGGATTGCCCCACACCCTTGGGTTTAGCATCTGGGAAGAGTCCAGGGTTTGGGGTTTAGGGTAGTATGCATATTTAGGGTCGAGTTGTTGTTGAGCATCCTACTCGGAGCCGAAACCTAGCAAGGGTTTCGGGTTCCGGAGGTTTAGCATTAGGAACCTCCCCCCGAAACTGTAAACCGTGAAGCCCACGAAACAATGATTCGACAGACTCCGACAAGCTAGATGCCCGGATTTCTTACTCATGTTCCGCGCAACTTGCAGGAGGACTTAAAGCGAACTCCGGCCATTCAGGAACGTTCCGAAAAGCTCGCGGGAAAAAAACACTTGATTTCACGGCTCCTGGGGTCTCGGCTTCCGGAAGCCACAAAGCCGAAGCTCTCTAAGAAGCAAAGCCCTGAGTGTTGAACCCGAGAACCCCAACGCCAAACCCGAAACTCGACATTTTTCATTGAAAATTCATCAGCCAGGTCGAGAAGGCAGAGGAAAAGGCAGTGGCCGAGGACCAGGCTTTTCTGCGAGTGTCTCTGCGTTGTTGGTTTTTGGTTTAGGGTTTTACCCTGCCCTAGCCACCAGGCTTGACAGTTACGGGGTCAATTCCTTTCCGTGGAAGCTAGGGCGAGTTTTTGGCTTTGAGCTCTACAGGCTTCTGAGATAATCCCGCCCGAGAGTGCGTATCAGTTATACTGAACCATGTCTTAGCCAAATCCCTAGACTGCCCTAAACAAGCCCTCCATCCCGACACCCTGAAACCGAGAAGCCCCCAAAACCTCAACAAAGTCTCACTAGGGCTTGCCGTTGAGACGGAGAGTTCGGAAAGCCCTAGAATAATATAGGGGCCCACATAATTATATGTTTGGTGTTCTCTTTACTACATTTTCAGGATATGAGTACAGTAGACGCTCCAACACCATATTCAAGCTTTGAAGGCCCCTAGAGCAATCTGCCAGGGCGCACCTGACTCCTCCGCAGTTCCCTCTCCGCCGGAGGCAGGAGCTGGCAAAGTGCAGGGTAAGAGCCGTGTTATAGTATACTGTAGCATATCATGGTATATTATGGTATACTGCAGTATACTATAGTATGTTTTAGTATATTGTAGTATTACAGTATATTAGTATATTGTATGATCTAACATATTCAGGGTTATATTCTTGACAACTTGAAGTGTCACCTTGGGGTTTGGTTTTCGGGTAAGATTCCGTAAAGCGCTAGCCTGCCCTTTGTTTTCAGGTTGTGGATGTGAAGGTCGAGCTTACCAGAAACCCATTGCTGTGCCATGCGTGCAAAAGGGGAGGGGGGAGGATGGAGGCTAAACTTTCGGGTTCATAGTCTTAAGTGTGCCACAAAGGCTCGGCAAGGTCTTGGGGTTTTCAGGCCTTGGGCTTACGTACAGCGCAGTATCTCTAAAGGCCTCAAGCAGCCCGAAACCCTGAACCCCCAACCCTGCACAAGACTCGAGACCCTACTTGGACGTTCATGGGTAGTTATAAGTGGGGCTATAAGTAGGATAACTATACTTATGACTCATATTAGGGGACTTATAACCCCACTTATAACTACCCATGAACCCTAAACCCTATACCCTTCTAGAATCCCTATAGATCCCTTTAAAGGAACCCCACTTATAACTACCCATGAACCTCCAAGTACCCCCCCCCCCCTTTCCCCGAGGCGCTTGACATGTTCGGCGAGGCAGGGCTTGTACCCTTCTAGAATCCCTATAGATCCCTTTAAAGGAACCCCACTTATAACTACCCATGAACCTCCAAGTACCCCCCCCCCCCCCTTTCCCCGAGGCGCTTGACATGTTCGGCGAGGCAGGGCTTGTCTTTGGGTTTAGGGTTTTAGGGTTTTTGGGTTTAGGGTTCAGGGTTTTAGGGTTTCAGGGTTTAGGGTTCAGGGGTTTAGGGTTTAGGGTTCATGGGTTTAGGGAGGATTTAAAGGGTAATCAGGGTTTCTGTAAGGAGTAAGGACTTTATACGGGATTTTGGGAGGTTTCAACGGTTCTGTAAGGATTGTATACATGTTTAGAAGAGTTGGTAGCAGTATCCCCTTATGGCAATATGGTCTCTCTTTTTATGTTTTCAGAAGGCATACTCCAACGCTTCTTGTTACGAAAAATCTGGCCCTACGTCCACATCGAATCCCGTGCTGGTAAGCCCTGAACTGCAGCTTCTTTCCTGACATAGCAGCCTCAACCTGCAGGAGGATTGGGGACGCAAGCCTTATGCTGTAACAATGCAACAGCATGCATGTGTCTTGTATGTCATGCATGGTATGTATGTGCCTTTATTGTTCCTGTGTCACCAGTACATAGGTTCTTCAGTGCAGGATTCGTAGCTTACTGTGTTGCATGTGCTTGCGACTTAAATCGGAGGCCCCGAAGCTGTGCCACAAGAGTTGCTAATGTAAAGCCTGGAGGTCAGCCTGAGCGGTTCCCATTGAGACCCCCAAGCCTTACCCCCCTGAACCCCAAATTCTGCGCCATGAAGTAGTGATAGCCGAAATCACCGGGACATATAATGCTAGAAGTTTTGACGGCTTCGATGTAGTCTCACGACTGGTTAAGGCTCGTGTAAGCAAGTTTTCTCCCACCGCATTTCAGCTGCTTTTGTTTAAGGGTTTAACCTGTGCATGACTAGGAGCCTGGCGGATTAATGCAACCCGAGGAGGGATCGAGGTTCACTTGCTTCGGATTGAAATCTGTAGGATGGGGGTTTGGGCTTTGGATTTAGATGGGTTAAGGCTTTACACAGGTCTTAGGGATTAGAGCTTGATGGGAAAAAGCAAGGCTTCAAGGGTCAGATTTCTAGCTTTTGCATGGGCATGCAGGACGATGGGAAGGGTTCTGGAGGGTTCGAGCAAGGTTCAGGGCCCGGGGTTTAGGGGTTAGGGTTTCGAGCCTCGAAGTGTCGTTTTGGCATCTGGGTCGGCTGGCTTCACGCTGTGTATTTGAGGGCTTCGACTTACGCCTAAACGGTCTGAAGCCTCACAAGTGGACGCAATTCCTGAAGTAGAGAGGTGTGCCCTAAAGCGCAGAAGCCCGAGCCCCAACTCGCAGGGACAGAAAACAGCTGACGAGATTCCTTCCAGTTTAGGTGTAGGAGTTAGGGATGCTAAGTGTGAAATCTCGGTTCAGATCCAGCCAAGAAGCCAGAATTTCAAGTCATTTCAATTGACAAGCAGTGGGCGACATTTGTTGTAACCTCCAAGCCCTAACACCCACCCAGAACGAAAAATGCCGCCTTTGTCGAGGATGGTTTCACTGATGCCGGACGAGCTTCTCCTGGAGTAGAGGCAGTTGCTCGGTGTCCGGACAATCAGCCATATATTACGTAAATATTACATAGTATATACTATAGATTAAGAAAAGATATCGTACATGTTATATAGTATAGAATATATGCATTATAAGGATAAGGGGTTTCGAGATTCGCCTTTCAGAGTCCTTGTGAGGGGCATGTGGAGACAGCCTGAGACCCAGCAGAGTGAGCGAAGTCCACCGGCATTCCTACTCTTCGTGCATGTGTTGCTTAAACTAAACACCAGAGACAGTCAAACCCTAAGCCCTAGACCCTACTCCTTGGGTCCCAACAACCTTAGCTCAAAGCTGGGGTCGGGAGGAGCAAGTTGGATGAACTGGACTGGGCACAAGTGCGACGACAGAGAATAGTGGTAGGGATTTTCATGCAGGTTGCAGGAAAAGTTCTTAGACTGAGTCAAAGTTTCATAAACAGCAGGCTAAGTTTTGAAAGCTGCCTTTGATCTTTAGAATGAACTCTGCCTCCAAACCCAGAACGCCTGAAGAGGGATGCCTGAGTAACTAGTAACTAGTACTGGCATTCCCTATGGAGCTCCGAAGCATACATAAATTTTTGACGGTGGGTAGTAGTATTATTCCTTACGATTCCAATTTCTTAGTAGTAGCTATAGTACAGCATGCCCCAAAACTTTTGGTAAGGCTTCTACATTCATCCACAAAGCAAAGTCCGAACCCGAACTCCCCCGCGCTAACTGCTCAACCGAGCATGCTTCAGCCCTACAGCCTCGAACTTGAACGCAATTCCTCGATCTTGAGATCCGAAGCTCAAGACAAAGCTTGCAGATACTGTACTTTAGATGCCGTTCAAATGGCAGGAAGCGCCGGCAGAAGGCATGCTTGAAGCGGCTGGCGACTGAGCAGTTCTGCTCCCCCTGCAGTTATGTTAGGCCATGGGTAGAAATGGGTTTCACCCTAGAAACGATTTATTCGGGCATGGCAGGGTACATTCTGTTGTGAGCTTTATGATCTCGTCCGTATGCAGTGATCTCTTGACAATGGCCTGATCTTCCTATTCATGGAGTGGCCTGGCTGGACACGAAGTTCCTCATTTCTGATTCGATGTCAGCGGATGTGGTCTGACGTGACATGATGCGGTGTGATGCGCGCTGTCGTGCTATCAGACGAGGGGATTTCCGAAAGGGCTGCAACAGATCATCTGGAATTGTCTGATTTGATCTCAGGTGACGGCTGGTTACATTTTGCTTAGATTGCGGGCTACACACTCAAGGAAAGGCTGGGTTCAGGATGGCTGCGTTCGTAAGCCCTGCTCTCCAGCTATCCTTTATACAAGTAGCTAGAAACTAGAATCTAGAACCCTCGAACAAACATGCCAAAAAGAATGAAAGCCTCGCAAAAAGCTTCCAAAAGAGCCACAATGGTTTCAATCAAGCTTCCTCAGGCAGAGTTGGGCGCCCCGGCCTCCGAGGCGCCGGAGGCCGCGGAGGCTTCGGAGGTCCCGGAGGCGGCAGAGCCCGCGGAGCCCGCGGAGCCCGCTGAGCCCGCGGAGCCAGAGGCGGGAGTTACAAGCTCTGGTTAGAGTTTGGGGTTTAGGTTTAGTTTCAGGCTGGGTCTTGTATCCACTGTGTAGTCTCGTTGCCCTTGAAAATCTTACTTCAATTTTAAGCGTTTGAGCTCAAAGGCGCCGTGGCGCATGCGGTTCTACGGGTGTGGGCGGTTTGGGCTGCAGGGGCCTTTGGTGGTTTAGCACGCGGCTTCAGAGTATTTAGAATCGTCCATTGCTTTGAGACACCGCGGTTCAACACATCCCTCAGAGAAACGCTCCAGACCCGAAGCCCGTAACCCCAAAAAACCCACAGTATCCTAAAGCCCCCAGAAAGCCACCGTCAATCCACCCAACAGGTCCTAAACACCCTAAGGCCCCAAGAACCTTTCAAAACCCTAAACCCTCAACTCGCTTAACCCCTAAACCCTCAACCCGCCTAAACCGCGAAAGGCCCTCGCCCCCACCTAAACCCTTAACCCTAAGCCTTAAGCCCTAGACCCCCAACCCCCAAACCCTAAACCCAAAACCTTAAACCCGAGACCCCTTCGGAAGCTGCAAGGAAAAGGGTGCTACAAAAAAACCTCTAGAGCCCTTGGGCCCTCCTCTCCTTGTCAAGGCTGCAGAGGCCCAACCTGGCGAGCCAGGGGCCGAAATGGAAGCCGCTGAGGAGAGGGCGGAGGATTGCAACCTTCTACAAGGGGCGCTACGGAAGTGTAGGGTTTAGGGTTTCGGGTTTAGGGAGAAGTGTAGGCTTTAGGGTTTTACAGGTTCGGCGACAGTCTCGTCTAGGATTTAGGGATTAATCGGGCTTTTTGTGGTTTTCCGTGCAAATTGGGTGTGGGTTGTGGGGCTGCATACGATATCGGGCTTGGTGGCTTGGTTTAGAGAAAGTGGTCAGTCAGTGTAAGGGTTTTGTAATAATACATTCGTATCTTTCTTTTAATAGGGATCTGGTACATAATGACGCAATTAGATAGGGAGTGCAAGCGAATGTCATTGCATTGGGCTTTTAGGTTTTTGTGGCTTATTATTTCGGAGTTGAAGGAACAACACACAGGTGCTAGTTCTCCGGCGCAAGTCTTTGCTGTAGGTGTCCCGTCTTGCTTAGCTTGGCCATCACCCTCCACCTCGAAGCCTGAAAGCTATGTTCTGACTACTTGTGAACAAAGTTCCAAAGTTCATGTCTTCCTACTCCTATAGCCAAAAGCCCTAAACCCCACAACTTAAACCCTGCGACGGTTCTGTAGAAGTTCTTGAACAGGAGCCGGTAATGCCCATGGAGCTGGACCGCGAGACACAGGACAGAAGTCGCCTCCATTTTGTTTCTGCCTCGAATTGATTCGGGGGCAGGGGGTCCTCGTTTCAGGCTGGTCGGGTTCTGCAGGTTGAAGTCGTTTGTGTATCCGAGCTTACGCCTCGAATCAGCTAACCCAAAGTGTGCCCTTGCAGAGGCAACCCTGCAGCTGGATCTTGCCTTGTCGGCTCACTGCCAGTGATACAGTTTCTCGAAACAATATACTATGACATTTTCCCCTTCTCTATAATACGTTACCATCTACCGCAACATACTATCATATACTTTGTTAGATTCCAACACATACCATAATATGCGGTAATTAAGGTACCAACGTATCTAACGTACCGCACTATGGTGCTGGAGTTGAGTCCTTGAGTGCAGCTCTTCCTGCAAGCTTCCGTGCTTTGCAAGTTTTTTTTCGTTTCCCACTTGCCATTGCTGTGCAACGTGCAGGACCCGGGAGTCACCTCTAGCGTCCGGATCCTACACGCGGAGAATATTGGGGTCTGAATGGGTGTAGGCTTCCCCAATCCCCAAAATGGTTTAGCGATTTTCGGACCTGCGTTGAGATGAGAAAATGTGGTGGTCTTTAGACGCACGGTCTTGTTGAACTACCCACTTGAGTTTGGTTTCCAGGTTTAGCTTTAGCCGAGATTTAGGGGAAGCGGGTTCGAACGACTTGCAAATCGAGTTCAGGGTCTGACGCCAGAGCCGGTGTAGGGCTTATCGGGCGGTCTCCTGAAAGCATCAGTCAAATCGAAGGTAGGCCTCAGACTGAGAGGCTTGTGCTCATGGCATTGGGCGCGGTTGGGATTCGGGATATCTGATATCAAGGCTTTAGAGCACCAGGTTTTTGAGGTTCGGGATAGCAAAAAAAGGTGGGTTTGAATTTGGAGAACGGAGGTGTGATGTCTGCCGCTGATTGCTTTCGTAAGCCCGCCTGAAGCCTGGAACCCAAGGTCAAAACCGTAAATCTCAACTTCAACCCAACACCACCGGTGTGATTATCATGCTGAAGCGAATCTGCGGGCCCTTTGCTTGCCACACGCTGGAGTCTTTAAAACCTTGTTTTCGTCCAACTCTTCGGCTTTAAGAACTCTACAGCCCCGCCCCCGATTTCCAGACTTTGGCCTCAAAGTCGAAACTTTCTTACGGAAGGTGTAATGGTCCGGGATCCTGAGGTTCTTGAGTATATCGAAGTGCGGTTTACATCGAATCGCTTCGTGGGATTAGGGTCGTCGTGGTTTGTCCTGGAGCTTCTGCTACGTAGTTCTTCCTGATCTTTTTGCCAGCCGATAGCTTTGAAGCCTTCCACTGCCACCGAGGCTCCGTACATCAGTGCTAGTACGATGTTTGCTGAAAGCACAGGCTTTTATATTTTGGTGACTCGCAGCCTAGCGAATAGATGGGGAGCTGCATCTGTCAGACCCGGAAGCTGTTCACTGGCTACTGAAACCACATAGCGGCCCCAGCCAGCATAGGTACAAGAATCATGACATGCATGGCAAGAAGACAAGCCCCAGTATGGAGGCTGACACAATAACATTCCTCTACCTGGACAACCAGGAATCCTGCAAACAGACGGAAAACCATGAGCGAATACGTCCCGATCTTTTTTCTGTTCACAAGTATGCTCATGGTCCGAAGCCCGAAACCCGCAAGCCCCCAAACTCTGGCCCCAGACCCGAAAACCTCGAAACCCAAGGGCCCAAGGCCCGAAGTCTTCACTCCCCAAAACTCTGCCTCTCAACCCAGGAGGAAGAAGCCGAGTACCCTGAATCCCCACGGCAAAAAGCACGCCGAAAGATCCACAAAAAAGGCGGAGGACCTTCCACCTGCGGAGGACCAGCAACGCGAGCAGCCGGCAGCTGGGACCCAAAATCTGCCACAAGCCTTCAGGGGTTAGGCTTCAGGAACTTGCTTGGTTTTCTAAGGTTTAGGTCATCGGTTTTCTGGGGGCTGGAACGTAGATTGTCGACCGGATTCAACATGTGTCCCGCTTGGGAATTCGGGTTGTGGATGCAACTGTCAGATGCACAGTTTACCCTGCGAAGGCTAGAATGCAGTCCTATCTCACTTCGGAGCGAGTCAGGGTGCAAGGAAATTCGTGTAGGATTTAGATTTATGGTTTTGCAGCACATCCCAAGCTCAGGCGGGCGAGGGCGACGAGGAGGAGGTGCTGTAGCTGGCTTGGGGCGTGAGTTGAGGGTCAGGGTTTCTGAGGGCTCAGAGATCAGAGGATTGAGGATTCAGGGCTGTCGGTTAAAATATATGCTTTGTCGGAGCAGCAAGATGAGATCGTCGTGGTCTTACCGATCTGTACGACACTTTCTGGGTTTGGGATCGCAACTTTCACGGCTGGGTATCAAAACGGTGCGTACCAAGACATGACCCCGATCCATACATGTTGCAACACAAATGTTTAAATCGAACACATGTATGCATGTATTTATGCACGTATGTTTCTGCGTATGCATGCACTCATGCGTGGATGCAGGGAGGCCAGTCAGTCTGTCTGTGTGTCTGTCCGTCCGTCCGTTTGTCTGTATGCCTGTCTGTCCGCATGCTCGCATGTTCGTATGTCGGGCGGCGGCCCAAATGCCTAATCCCAATGCAAAGACCGCAGTGTTTCATGAGTTAAAGGGGGGTTGTCCTTGGCTCATTTGGCAACCCGCACGTGAGATCCTGAACTCTTGTTCCACCGGTCTTCGTTGAAGTAGACCTGCTAGCATTTGCAAGTTGAGTCTTAGAGCAATAAAACAATCTGATAACACCTTTCATCACCGGGACAGTAGCAGCAATTGACAGCGGCATAAATATCAAACATAGAGACAGAATCTTATCTGAGCTCTGCCACCCCGAAAGGCACAACTCGATGATGCCGAGCGCTTGGTGCAGGACCCATCCCCTTCTTGAAGCAACGGTTTGGGGTTTTAGGCGCTGTTCCGGTCTGGGAGTTTTGGGAACTTAGAACGGAATCAGGGTACGTACCCTGAGTAGAGAATTGGGATGCCTTTCATGAATCGCAGCTAATAGCCGCAGCAGTGATGGTGCATGCACCGGTTCGCATGCAAGTTCACATGCTTCAGGTTTTGTAGAGCTTCGTTTACGCATAGTGTGTGGCTCTACCGACACCCGATCCTCAATTCCAGCACACAGGCTCGAGTGACCAAAGCTTCAACATCACTGATATCGGGACCCAGCAAGCCTCAAGCAACAAATGCAAGCTCTGAACGGAACACAACAGCACTTCCACAAGCCCCTTTCCAGCTTCCTGCAGGAGACTGCCGGGCTTCTTCAACAAGTCGGCGCCGAGGCTTGCAGGGCAAGTCGGATCAACGTGAATCGGCTTTTACGGTGGTTTGGGCGGTCTCTGGATGCAGGGGGGAGGTCCTTTAACATCGTATCGCCTAGGGTCTGTAGTAGAGCCGACCATCTGAAACTACGACAGTGGACAATTTAGCTCGGAATAGGCTTGGAACGCGGACCGATATCAAGATAATTGAGGCCTTGGGGCTTGGGCTGCTGCAAGCTATGCGGATATACTCATACGGGACTCATACTGATTCATACCCCACGCCATACCCCATACCCCTACAGGTGCAGGTCCGAGCGATCGGAATGTACGAGCTGTAAGTGGCCCTAGCGGGACCTCAACGAAAAGCATGTTCGCGCCTGTACTCCCCGTCGAAGGGTTGAGCAGGGCTTGACGGATTCAGGTATCTTCAGGTTTCTTCTTGATATACAGGTTTATCACCTGTAAAGGCCTTAGGACTGGAGATTTCTTCGTTTCGGCAACTAGAGGGAGCTTGGCCTGCCACGCCCTTCTACCCTAAACCGACACACCTGAAACAGCAGACTTAACTGCAAAACCTGAAACCCAAAGCCCTACAGCCTAAACCCGTACCGATAACAGCCTGAAGCCTGTTTTTCCGCTGGCAGGGGCTGATTTCTTTTGGTGCATCTTTACGGTTCGGAGTCTTCAGCCCGTAGTCTTTGCAACACCCCAAGGCCGGGCAGCCTAATTTCTTGAAGATTGGTCACAGGAAGTCTCTGGCGGTTTAGGGTTTTCAGGTTTAGTGCCCAGAGATCTCGCCTCCAAAAGCACTGCGGGCTGGAGTTTAGGCGTAAGGCACATTGCAATTCACCCTCTGAATTGAACCTCGAAGTGGACACATCTCAAAACCGAAGCGCAAAAACCCCTCTACTCTGAATGCAGCTTGAACCCACAATCCTGAACCCCTCGAAATCCGTGAAAACCGCCAACCCTACCCCCACCTTCGACCCAAGTTCGAAGCACTGAAGCCACTGAACTGCGAAGATCCTAAGCCCTGAGCCCTAAACCCCAAATCCCACAAAGGAGCTTCCAGATGCTGAGGAGCCTGATGAGGCCTTCTTCTGAGTCTTGGGTTTGGGGTTTGGGCTCGACGGTTTGGTTAATTTTGGGGCCGAAATAAGTACCTATACTATTTTGGAAGCTTCCTTATTATATGTGTAGTAGAATGGGCCCCAGAACCCCATTCTAATTATTAACGCCCCTATATTAAGTGCTTTTCGGGCTTAGGTTTGGAGACTGTGGGCTTGCAGACTGAGGACTGTCGAGTTTGCGGGGCTAGTGGGACTTTGGGGCGCCAGGTTTTTGGAATTCGCCGGGTTCTTGCTAAGGAGTTTTACTTTAAGTTACCGCATGGGGAAGCCGTGTTACGCACTATAGATGCCTTTTGAGCGGTCACGTAAACTAAGAAACTCAGGAAGAACCCAGCTTGAACCTCAGGAGCGAGGTTCAGGGTTTTCGCTCTTTAAGAAGGAGATGAGTTCGGAGTCAGGGGTTAAGACCGAGGGGAAGGAGGCTTCAGGCTGAAGGGGTATTCGCTACAGTTGATCATGTTTAAAGATTTCGGCTGGGGTTTAATACAGTGGTCGGAATAATTCGCATGTTGTAGCGTCCCCTAATGTCCGATCCAGAGTATGTCACAAAGACGCCTTTTTTATTGGATCCTTCTTTGGACCATGGGATTTCAATGTGCATAATCCAATGGACTTCAAATTAAGATTAGAGGTTTAGGCTGGTCCGTTCGCTCCGTTGCTGCAGCATCATGGTTCTGGGATTTAGGACTTAATGCTTGGGGGGCCTGAGGTGAAGATCCCAAAAGCCTAGATGCCTCGAGCTCGGCCACTGCGTCAGACACCCTGATCTCTGCAGTCACCTGAGCTGATATCCACAATATCCCAAGCCCCAGGAACCCCTCCACTCCCAAAGAAGCCCTGATCCTGGTCCCCAGCCGGCAGGTTTGGATCCTAGGCTTAATCCCAAGCCCTATTAGTTCTTGGATTCCAAGCACTGAGCCCAAGGATCTAAACCTGTTCACCCTCCACCTCTTCAGCTTATTGCTCTGACCCTGAACGAGCTCTTGTCGCCGAACCGGCCTAGACTCTAAGCCCAGAGACGAACACTTGAATGTTTAAGCCGTCGAGTTTATGCGAATCCCAGATGCCGGCTTCCAAAGCTCTCTATGTGTGTATATATATATATACATATATATGTATATATACACACATACACGCATGTATGTATGTATGTATGTATGTATGTATGTATGTATGAACGTATATATGTATAGAAGCCCTCAACCTTATGAGCCCTAAAAGCTCTCTCAATGGCAGGGGGAGGAGTCCGACTACCTAGCCGACGCAGTGCCGTGAAGCGATTCTACGGATGTTCGGCACCGCTGCCCAGAGCGCTGGTTAGGGTTTTTGTTTCCACAGTTTGCATAATAGAGTTCAGGGTTTAGGGTGCAGTCGATAGTTGGGCTTACCGTCTCGGGCGCTGTTGACACAGGGTTTGCACTCGCCAACAATCCCTCAAACCCTGATGAATTCCTTGGTTCCATTTCCAACATGCTTCGTCCAAGAGTTGACCCCAACACAAGTTTGGGTCCGAGACTACTGCTGGTTGAGAGATTTGGGGATGGACTTTCAGCAGTCGACATCTGTGGCCTGTGGGGGTGTTCTAGTTTCACTGTGTAGACTTGCTATCCTAAACGCATCTCTCAACCCTACGCGCTATACACCTGTGATACATATAATCCCACACCCTATAGACAGTGACACAAAATGCCCTAAGCCCATATTCTGAAACCCTGTCACGGCTAAACCCAAATCCCTGTACTCATCGGATGTCCGAGTCGAGATGTGAAAGCTCCTGATGGTCATGGACTCATAACTTGTATTCAAGGCTCTAGAGAGGCGTTCTCAAGGGCCTAGGGGATTTAGGTGGCTTTGAGCTGACTGCACGCTGCCTCAAGGTTTGGACTTGGAATCTTGGCGTGTTAAGCGTTTCACCTCACGCGTTCCCATTACCCGGCTGTGACTGTGCCATTGCAAAAGTCCTTCCATGTGAATCACTCGTACTGGGCTGTTGTTTGCGTGGTGATTCGGCGGCCAGTGATGGATTGCAGAAACGTTAGGTTCAGCTGGGTCTCGTGAGGACAGACCGACTCGCCATTACTAGCTGAGGTCGTGCCACTGCATGATGTGTGTCAGCGGTCTGTGCATGTGCATTGCTTGTTTTGGGCGGTTGTTTGCGTGGCGACTTGGCGGCCAGTGATGGATTGCAGAAACGTTAGGTTCAGCTGAGTCTCGTGAGGACAGACCGACTCGCCATTACTAGCGGAGGTCGTGCCACTGCATGATGTGTGTCAGCGGTCTGTGCATGTGCATTGCCTCTTTTGGGCGGTTGTTTGCGTGGCGACTTGGCGGCCAGTGATGGATTGCAGAAACGTTAGGTTCAGCTGAGTCTCGTGAGGACAGACCGACTCGCCATTACTAGCTGAGGTCGTGCCACTGCATGATGTGTGTCAGCGGTCTGTGCATGTGCATTGCTTGTTTTGGGCGGTTGTTTGCGTGGCGACTTGGCGGCCAGTGATGGATTGCAGAAACGTTAGGTTCAGCTGAGTCTCGTGAGGACAGACCGACTCGCCATTACTAGCTGAGGTCGTGCCACTGCATGATGTGTGTCAGCGGTCTGTGCATGTACATTGCTTGATTTGGGCGTTTTTTTCCGTGGTGACTTGGCGGCCAGTGATGGATTGCAGAAACGTTGGGTTCAGCTGAGTCTCGTGAGGACAGACCACTTCGCCATTACTAGCTAAGGTCGTGCCACTGCATGATGTGTGCCAGCGGTCTTTGCATGTACATTGCTTGTTTTGGGCGGTTGTTTGCGTGGCGACTTGGCGGCCAGTGATGGATTGCAGAAACGTTAGGTTCAGCTGAGTCTCGTGAGGACAGACCGACTCGCCATTACTAGCTGAGGTCGTGCCACTGCATGATGTGTGTCAGCGGTCTGTGCATGTACATTGCTTGATTTGGGCGTTTTTTTCCGTGGTGACTTGGCGGCCAGTGATGGATTGCAGAAACGTTGGGTTCAGCTGAGTCTCGTGAGGACAGACCACTTCGCCATTACTAGCTAAGGTCGTGCCACTGCATGATGTGTGCCAGCGGTCTTTGCATGTACATTGCTTGTTTTGGGCGGTTGTTTGCGTGGCGACTTGGCGGCCAGTGATGGATTGCAGAAACGTTAGGTTCAGCTGAGTCTCGTGAGGACAGACCGATTCGCCATTACTAGCTGAGGTCGTGCCGCTGCAGGGTGTGTTTTACTTGTCTTTGCGTGTGCATAGCTCGTTCCGGGCATAGCTGCAGTCGTGCCACTGCAAGCAATCTTCAAGGTTGCGCACCTTGCACAGGCAAAGCAAGATGAAGTGGGGACCCAATTATTACCAATATTGTTCCTGAGAGTTCCTTAACAGAATTGTGGCACATCATGCACCACGGACCCTACGTTCATTACATCAATCATCGTCCAACTTGCTGTGCAATGTCCAAAGCTTGAAGCTGTGTTCTTCCATACTGCGGTAGGCGATACCATACCATGGGCTACATTGGGCCACGCTAGACGACAACATTCTACAATGCATTGTGCTACAATCTAGTTCGCTGACGTTTCATGATACCATTCCGTGCACTTCAAGACACTTTGGCCCTAGATCCTGACTGTAAAGCTCAACACTGACCTCATTATGTCCCGAACCCAAACCCTTAATCCATCAATTCTGAACCCCAATCCGCCGATGACCAGAACCCAAAACCCAAACGAAACCCTGGACGAGCCTTAGAAACTACAAGAACGGGGTTATCCAAAAACAAGGAAAAGCCCTCTGAGCTCATGTCAAACTGAGCCCTAGGCCCTAAACCTATTAAATGCACCCTGGAAACCTAGGTCCCGGTGTCGCAGCCTGGTTGGTCCTGGAATTGCGATGCGAGATTTCGGGGTTCTCGAGTCTAGTGCAAGGGTCCAAGTACAGTGCCGACATAGACATGCACGTGCATAGACCGAGGGCAAGGACAAGTACGACATATTACATATATGCGCAAGAAGGTAGCCAAGCATGGCAATGCATGCACAGGCTTGTGTGTATGATCTGTACGTATATAAAAGAATACACGCATTGGACATAGTAGCTACGTCTTTCAATGGTCTTGTTTTCTTCTCATCTGTATGGATATGCACATATGTACACATACACACGTGCTTCTTGTGCATACTTCCCCCATGGTCCACTGCGATTGCACAATTTCACAGTGCCTGTCATTCTGTGTCTTTGTCTCTGCTCTCTCTCTCGCTCTCACTCTCGTGCTCACTCTCACTCTCACTCAGTCACTCACTCTCTCACTCTCTCTCCCTCTCTCTCTTCTCCTCGCTGTATGTACATATGCGATGCATTACTGTGTTTGTCTCCTTTACAAATGAGTGTAACTGCTCCATGCTTGCCTAAAGTTCATATGTGCGCATGTACAAAGATGAGCCGCACCATCCATTGCGTCATTTTGGAAGATTCGGGCGCCTCTCCGGCAGACGTATTTTCTAGGCAGGTTGGGTCATTCCACCAGCTGTGTGTTGCTTATGTCGAATCATGTTTGTTTTGTGTTGCGAAACAAGCGCACGGTGACATTTTTGTTGTAGGATAGACTGTTTCTTGCGCTGCCCAGACCCCTCTATTCATAATGCGGTTGTGGTCGTCACACCAGATCTTGTGGAGTGAAGTTCTGAGTACTTTGTTGTTCGCGGTTCTCGCTTGCAGGAGGCTTTCCTTGATGTTTACTTGGGTACGATTAAAACCCTCCGCGCACGATTTCCCGTTCAGACCCTGTTAGACTCGCACCGAGAGAGAAAGTCGTTTGGTCTAACTTGAGTAGTTCCTGTCAAGATAAGGCAGGCTTGTTTTTGAAGTTGTGCGGCGCGTACATGTTCAAAACTCCCGTCTGTAAGTTGAAATGTCGCGTGAAGCTCGAATCTTCGCAGTGCATTATCGTCAGGATCCAAACATGTAGCATGTCAAGGTTTTGTGTTAACAGGAGCCCGAAATTCACATGCAGTTACGTATGCACATCATACCTACGTACATAGATACTAAGGACCGACGTGCGCAGTCTTTCCGGCCCACATATAAGAGTTGGTACTTGGACCCTTAGGGTGGGGTTTGTTATGTGTGGGGCTTAAGTTTGAGTTGCTTACTTTCGGGACTAGGGTGCTAGCCGACAGCAAATACCACCGCGGTGCAGCACAAGAACATTGTGCATAACGCTGAACCATGTCGCTGGTGAGAGTCCATAGAGGACTGCAGCTGATCCTTTGAGGGCAGATCAAGGCACTGGCAGGTACCAACTGAGCCAGATGTGCTCTGAGTGCCAGGTGCTCTTCTCACTCTTTCATGCTGTCTCTTGCTCTCCCCTCCGCTCTCTTCTCAGCTCTGGCTTGCTCGCTCTCCTGCTCTCCAGAAGTCTCTTTCTATCTCTGCATGGTAGTCTCTCCCTCTCCCCGTCTTTATGTTCATGCCTTCTCTCCTCCGTTGCCAACCGTTCTGGCCTCTCCATCTCTCCCTTCTCTCCCTCTCTCTGTCTCTCTCTCTTTTTCTCTTTCCTGCTCGCAGACAACCTTAACCCTAAACCCTAACAGCACACATAAGCGATCTGAGCCTTAAGCCCTGTAGCTCCCAAATCCTTAAATCTCTCTCCTTCTCTCTTTCTCTCTCGTGGCGGCCTCAGCTGTAGATGTGTTCAGAGACTGAACGCAGAGACTTTTCATGTGTGATGCCATTTCAAGTGTGACCCGGGCCCGAAAGCCCAAGCAAAAGCACCCTGTGCCAAAGCCTCCCGTTGGCCACGCAGTTGATTTAGCTAATAGGTCTCCAAAGCAGCGAGTTGGACACCTCTGCGCGGCGGCTTAAAATCGAGTTTGGGGCCGAACGAATCTCCCGTTCCTTCTGAGTCTTGGAGGCATCTATGTCTCACGAAGCCTTCGTCGTACACGCGCGCATGTGCAGACGGATTCACGTATGTACAGATATTAGTTATATGTATGTGTATATGTCTGCAGGTCTGCATATCTGTCTCTCCATCTCTCTGTCGCTCTGTCTTTATATGCCTGTCTGTGCGTATGCGTGTATGTATGTATGTATGTACGTATGTATGTATGTATGTATCTATGTATGTATGTATGTATGTATGTATGTAATTATGTATGTAAGTCAGTAAGTATGTATGTATGCATGTATTTGTGTATGTGCATGCGTACACATGTACATGTGCAGACATCAACGTAGATATGAAACAGCCAGTCCGCAGGAGATCAGTTGTCCGAAAGTTAGTGGCAGTGCAGACTAGACTCGACTTCAGGTTTGGAGAGGTGCTGGTTGAACCGTGTGGCAAGCCTTTGAAACCCAAGACTTAACACCTTAACGAAAGACTTGCATTCGCTGGCAACTCTCAACTCTCGGAGTTTCACGGCCCCCAGCTTGAAATCCAAACAGCTCCAGCTCCTAAACACATGGCAATATAGGCCCAAACCACAGAATCCTGAACGGCAGCTTGTGGCTGCGAGAGTATGGATTCAACCAGAAAGTCGTTCACTGCGCAGCTTCTGACAGTTCGAGAATCCTTAGCAGCATGGAAGCGCCAGTTTACGTCCTGGCAACAGGACTTGTGCCAACAGCCAACAGCCAGAGCATCGCTTCGGTTCTGCGTGAGCTTTCGTGATGACACGATGAATTACAGCCCTAGTCCCGAGAATCTGGGACCTCTGCACAAGGGCATCCCTCATGCCAGCCCTTTTCGGTACATCTGGCGATTAGGTTTCTCAGGTTTGCAGCTTGAAGGTAAGAGCAGCTTGGATAGCGGGGTTGTCCACCCGCTTCGCACCGTTTGCAACATGGAGAGCGGGCTCGCCGGCAGAGATGCTCCTTCCTTCGCAGGCCTCTTTGCTCGGCTTCGACTTAGACGGTGAATTGAGGGCATGATAGGACCTGAGACAATAGATAGCTGGCCTACAGTAGTTACCGCTTTCCATATTCCTTATAGGCCCCGTAGCCAGGTGTGCAAGAAGGGTGTATGCTGGTGAGATGGGGGTCAGCAGTTGTGTTGTGATCATTCCCGTAACCAGAGACCTGTTCATTGCCTGGCCCTGAAGAGGGCAGGCGCCGGCAACGTTAGTGTTCACTCCAGTTGTCTTTGGAAAAAGAAGGCAGGCTGGGGATGCGAGATCTGCAGGCAGCACGTGCAGCCCACACGGGTTGGGGTTTAGTCGGAAGTGGCTCCACGTTAAATCCGTGACGTCTAGCTTGAGTGTTCAAGATATCACTCGACTGCTTGTACGTAGCACGAGTTGAGACCGCATATTGTTTGGCACGTCTCAGCATACCTTGTATTACCTGTCCGCGATATGCTTAGAACCTTGTCGTGCGACATCGGACTGTCAATGCAACCAGTTTTTCTGTATCCATCACCCTTACTCAACATCATTGTACGCAGCCGTCTTCACTGTCTCTGCTTACATCGGTGTTGTTGATGCGCATGTTCTTCGGCAATGACTTCCAACAGTTGAACCGAACAGCTGCCGCATTCTGATTCCTACTTCTTACTTGAAGCAGGAACTCAGGGTGCTCAACCCGAAAGCCCCTAGAACCTTGCAGTCCCTAAACGCTTTTAACCTGTACAAGCCCTTACAAGCCCATTTAAACCGTCAACATTTCTAAGCCCTTGTAAACCCTGCCTAAACCCTTATAGTTAACCTTGTTCGTGCCATATAAACCAGTATTGACCCTTTTAAACCCTTAAAAATCCGAGAACCCTAGCCATGGCCCCTGGAGCCCTGCAAGCCCTCTTAGGGTTTCAGGGGTTTAGGGTTTAGGGGTTTAGGGTTTAGGGGGCCTAAGATCTTAGGGCCTTAGGGGAGGAGACGAGGCCGTCATGTGCGATGATCTTGCTGGTGGGGGCGAGAGGGAGGAGGTTCCGCGGTATCTTTAAGCCCCAGAGTCCGAACCTTTGAACCCCAGACTCGTAACACTAGTTGTATAGTATTAACATGAATTGCAATACTGACACTACACTTAATATACTAATGTTGGTACTATTGATGCGAATACCAATATTAATCTTCCAATGATGCGAGCTTCCCGTGGCTTCATCTCCAGACTCTTGCTGGCTCAAACTTTGCCAGGTGCGGATGACCCGCCCTTCCACCAAACGGCGGCGCTGTCGCCTGGCAAAGATCTGGCTCTTCTTGAGAATCCCAGTCATCTAGAAAGTAGGTCACTGCCGCCATATCATGCGACAGCATAGCAGTTGCTAGACTATGGCTGCTGGCTAGCGACAGAACCGACTAGGCAGGGTCCGTCTTCGGTTGGAGGGTGGTTTGCACGCAGGTTCGGGCTCCTGGGTGTCAGGCTTTTTTGGCCCCATTGGGGGTTTGGGTCCAGGAGTTTAGGCCTGTCCCAATGCCCAAAGATAGGATTCCTCCGCAGGGTCTTTCCCGTGAATATGTGCACCGTAATTGGGAAGCCTCGTCTGATGTAGGCGCTTCAAAATTGCCAACTATATCCAACATTACTTTCTGTGGTCCCAGAGTCGTTTTACTATACGTAGCCTTAAATTCCCGTTATTCAGGCCCCGCACTGGGGCCGTGGGGCTTCGGGGCTATTCAGAATTCGGGTTCATGGTGTTGTGGGCTTTTGGATCCCACGAGCTCTGCCCTTCCAGCCTGGATAGAGGCCTGTCTTCGGGTTCCCAAGTGTTGAATCGAATATTTAAGACATCTCAAGAGTCTCTACTTTGGAGCTTCGGATGATTCAGTTTCCGGGTCTGGGATCCTGCGTGTGCACCTGGGACCCCCTGACCCCCGGACCGAGGCTTTCATTTAAGAGACATCCCATAAGACATAGATCAGCTTGTGCTTTACTCGAACCGAAGCTTTCCCTCAATTTTCGAAGCCTTGGGCCTTCTGTATTTTTCTGACACTGGAGATTTCGGTGCTTCAACATTTTCTAGTACAGTCTTCATCCGCCCTTGTCGCCTCATGTCTGCACATGCTTGCATGCTGATGCTCTCCTCTTTGGCTGCCAGCCTTAGAACCCTGGCACAGCCTTATCTTCTTGCTGAACTTGCGTGCTACAGTGTGCCAACTCGTTCTGACCTTCTAAGGCGATCATGCCCCCTTTTCTGAACACCCAAGTCCGAGACCCCGAAACCTGAAATGAAGAAGCCGAGAAGCCCGAGTCCTTGACCCGTTCCAGGAACCCCGAAGCCCGGCACAGGAAAACAACTGTCTCTTCGATGGTCGATTCAGTTGGCTCCCTGCAGCTCGCCTGAGATTTGGAAAGCCGCGTGGCACCCCGACAGTGCTTGTTGAGCTCCAACTGTGAATGTTGGGTGCGACTATATGCAGTATTGCGGGGATGTTCGTAGAGGCCCTCGGTGTTCGTCGATCATATTCTGCACATGGGCCCGTGATACGTGACCGAGATATGAACACAGTACCTTCGGTTTTCTTGCGTTTCGGGCGTTATAAAACCAAACCCCGGGCCCTAAACCTGAAACCCTGGAGCCCTGCGTGGCTGCGGCTGCTCATTCGCTTTGCTGAGATGTCAAATCCTTAACTTAAATGGGGGTGTTGGGGTTCAAGGGGCTATACTGTAATTTCCATCTGGCAGACCTGGAAAGAGTCTTGGGGTTTGGGGTTCCCGAACTGGCCTTCCAACTGAAAGACCGAGAATGGCCCTAAAACGGCAAGTGGTTCAGGATTTGTTAGCGTCAGGGGCATTTAGTCTGTGGCGGTTTAGGTTTCCCAGGATGTCGGTTTGTATAAGGCTGTTCATATTTCGGGTTTCAAGGGTTGAGAGCGCATTAGCTGACGCCGACATGCATCTCTTTGCTCCCAGCATGACCTTTGGCTTTCCATCACTGCAAGCATGATGCCTGTCTTATGCAGTATAGTATATGAGACATGTCCCCGATGCCGAAGCTGTGAGCATTTCCGCTTTGAGTGAGGCTAGTGCGAACAGCCGGTCCTCCACCCCCTTCGGCGCTGCCGCCCGTCCAAGCATTCACGCACCGATTGCAGAAATGTCGGGCTTTAACGAGTTTGGGGAGTGCTGCTCTTTCTGGCCTTTGGAACTGTGCGGACTTCAGGGCTGCGCCACACAACCCTCCTTGCACACTTTTCTGTTTGGGTCGTTCCAAACAAAAGCTTAAGCGTGGGAGTTCTAATCCAACCCCAGCGTTTCGAGTCTCAAAGCCAGGGCTAGCCTCTTGGGCCTGAAGCTCTTTAGGAGCTCGTGTTGTTTTGGGGTCACTGCTGTATGTACACTCCCCAGAGCATCGGTTGGCCCAAAACACAATAGAGAAATAGGGGCAATAACCCGAGGTTCAGAAACGGGGGCCGGCCCTTGCTACAGATCTGGACTAGTACAGGCAGCTGGGTTTCCCTGAGACCCTGGAAAGGGTATGACAAGTAGGGCAACCCTCCTTCAGGTAAGACCGATTCATGGGAGACCTGGGTTTACGTAGTTTCGGTCGAAAAAGAGTCGCAATACAGAGTCTGATTCGAGCTTGAAGGATCGTCTGTATTTGTTGACGCGACGAAGTTGTATGGTTTTCCGTTAAGACGGTGTCCGATACAAGGGTCTGAACAGTGAGTACCAGTATTCCCGAATAGTCCCTCCATATTCGTACTATATGGGGACTTTAGCGCTATACTTGGAGGGAATCCCCTTACAATTCTTGTTGCAATTCTTGTTGCTGCCTTGTGTTGTGAGGCTGGCCCCGCCGAAGCCGCCCGCGCCGCCACCTGGCGGTGAGGCTCCCCGCTTCGTCGTTACTGCTTTGGGAGACTTTGAGGCTAGTCGCAATGCCACGAGCGTTAGGGTTCCGGGTAAGGACGGTTAGGGTTGAGAGTTCGGGAATTTCAGGGGCAAGTGTGGCAAGCGCGTGTTTACCAATTGCCTCAGACCAACCGCAAGCCCGAAAATTGAAAATTCCTCCTCAGGGCAAGGAACGTGCAGACAGGAAGAGGCAAGCAGGCATACACGTGCATTTACATGTAATATACGACATAGTACATACAAGCATATGCCATCACACAGGCATGCGGCTGTTATTGAGCGAAAGAGGCCAAATCTCCATCTGTTCTGAGGAGAGCTTGGGGCATCGCTCCAGCATGGCTTTTAAGGCTTGGGTTCGCTTTTACGCAGAAACTCCTGCAGAAAGAGATGCGACAATCTCTTAACCGCAAAGCCTTCAGTGTGAGCACCTCAAGGTCTCCTACCACGATCCTCAGCTCTATATCTATATCTGTATCTGTACCTATATCTGTATCTACATCTCTTATATGTATAATATACATATTCATACAGATCTCTATGTCTCTATGTCTCTATGTCCCTACATCTCGATATCTCTATATCTGTATCTCTATGTCTACCTCTATATCTGTATGTGTAAGTACGTATACATTTTCATATACACATCTTTATATATACACATATCATACCGCATATTTTCATAGTATAGCATATCATGGTATAATGTGGTGTAGTGTCGTGTAGGAGAGTGGAGATCAGTAGAGTAGAGTGGGGTATAGCAGAGCAGAGTGTAGTATAGTACGGTATATATAGCATAGCATTGGATACTCGAGTAGATTTCCCCTAGATGGGCTACTGGGCCCGGGCGCGCGCGGCGCCCGCTCCCGCTCCGGCATTGGCGAAGAGCGCCCAAAAGGCAGGGTTTCTGGTGTCTCCAAACAGTACCAGGGTAATTGGGTTTAGTGTGGGGTTTGTGCTAGTATTCGGGTGTTGAAATTTTGCAGAGTTTACAGAGCAGCTTTAGTAGGGTTTATCAGATCACTTTTTGAGGGCTAGGTCTAGCTTTGGAGAAGAAGGCTTTGGGCTCCAGGTTACAAGGGTGATAGGATAAGGTTATTCGACATGCCGGGTTCCAATTCAACGAAGTGGCTCTGAATTCTGGCGTTGAGTTGAAGGCTTAGACTTTCATCTTCACGGTTCAGCGTTTGGTGCTTAGTGGTGGGGGGGGGGGGGTTGAGGGGCTTAGGCTGCTCGGTTTCGAGGTGCTCCGTCGGTTTCTGCGTGAATAGGTGGTAGACATAAATTCAGGCTTTAGGGACTTTAGGCTTGTGTGCTTAAGGTTGAAGGGTTCGAGTCCTCTAGCACGAATACCGTCGGAATTTAGTCAGGAGCCAAAGAAGCACCCAAACATAAACTTTCGGGTGGGATATCCCTATCTTCTTGGCTTAATTACAGAGGGGATTCTGGGATATCCCAGCCTTGTGTTTTTTTTGTTTAGGTCCTTTTCTGGGTCCCTATTTAGTCTAGGTGGGGGAGCCTAAGCGATTCGTAGCATGTTCTGTTCGAACCCTGGCCTAAAGCCGAGCAATAAACCCCATAGTCCTGATCTTAGCTCCTTAAAGCCCACTGCAAAACCCCTAAAGCCCAACTCCCTTGCAAAGTCAGATTCTTCCACCCTGGCTGCGCCCGAAATCCCGAAGTAGAGCCTTTTGCAGGCCCGCTCCGATTTGCTTTCGCCTCAGACGCTGCCTCTCGGCCGTTTTGGAGTTCTGGCGTGGGTAGGTGGGGGCGGGGGTGTTTGAATTGGGGCTCACTTGTTTGAATTCTTGTGGGCTCAGGGTTCATGAGTTCATGGCTTCGGGGATGATGTTGCTGCCAGGGGTTTAGGGTTGGGGTGCTAGGGTGCCAAAACACCAGCTTGTAGTCAGCATTCGAGGTAATCTGAATCTTGCGAGCCCGTACACAATATGAGCGGCTTGAACTAGCAAGGAGCACTAATAGGGAATAGTATTGGTACGGACTGTGCCGCTGGGAAGTTTGTCCGATGACGTGTACGCGTCGCCCGGATAACAATCCAGCTGTTGCCCCAAAGAGTCGTTGAACTCTGCCTTACTCGTGAAGTTCTTTAGTAACCGCAGACTTTGCCGCAAGCCCTAAACCCCTAAATCCCTAAATCACGAAACCCTCAAGCCCTGAAGCTCACACCCAACAGGACCCCTTGTAGCAACCCTGATGGAACGCGCATTAGAACCCTAGCAGGAACCCGAGTAAGTGTTGGGGTCTCAGATCCCCTCTACCCAAGACGCAGTTTTAGTCACAAAGGCCCTCATACTGTGGCACCTCTATAGCAAATCCGAATCACACCCCATAAGGAACCCCTCAAGAAACCCAACTCTAATCAGCAGGGCTCTTTTGTTGAGGAACCGCTTTTCAGCTCCAGAGGTCCCCATGGGTGATGCCTGCGGTTGAGAAGGCCCTGGGCCTCAACACCGGGGATTCTGGGGCTTGGGTTGAGGTTTGGTCCCTTTGTGGGTCGAAGGTGGCGTTTGAGTGAGGGGAAAGGTATGGTTCAACAAGATGTTAGTAGGGTGAAGGTCAGTCACGGTTTAAGAGCCCAAAACCCAAATTTCTACATTCAGTAGATGACTAGATGTATGCTCCAGAGCTGAGCCTCCCGAGAACTTGAGGGGTCCCTGTTCACCAGGTTGCTCTTTTGTTCTTACCGGGTCCTTGATATGAAGACTTTTGGTGCAGAAGCACTTGACTGACCTGGAGCACGAAGTTCTCAAGGGCAAATTCCGAGAGGCAAGCAAATCCTTTTGTCAACGGGTATGTGGTAAATCAGGACATCAAGCTTCTTGGAACTTTTCCTCAGTTACACGAAAATAAGTGACATGATGATTTAAGGAAAATTGAAATTCAGCCCCTTATGATTGAAGGTAATCTATGGTGAAGGCTTTTGAAGAAATGGAAGCGAGGGATCGGGCACACGGGTAGTTTATGCTGGGCTGGTCCTGGGCCAAGGCAAAACGCTCCTACCACAAGTGTGGTAGGCTGGTTTTGGGCCTGGGGCTGGGTTGGACCAGGCAAAATCACTGTGGTGCCTAGCACGTCGTAGGAAAGTTTTGCTTTGTCCAAGCGCTGTAAGGTAAAAGCCAGAAAGTTGGAATATGATTATCCTAACCCTTCTGTGGTAAATTATAGGGTATCCTACCATGAAACCATATTCCAACTTTCTGGAGTTCCCTGTAAGTGCAAAACCCAGCGTTCTGAAGGCCAAAACCAGGCGTGCCTCGGCTCATGGCCACGTCTGCTCCCGGCTGCGACCCTATATAAACCCTGCAATCCCTACATCCCTCGCAATTAGATGAAGAGTCTGGATCCCAGAAGCTGGATTTCCAAATCTGTTCTAGCTTCAGGCTCTAACTTCTTACTTGATAAAATTTCTTATCACAGCACTACATTACACCCTTATAGCTTGAGTCATGTTCCGCAATACAGGGGGGTTGGGGTTTCTGGGCCTGTGCCAGGTCAGCACTAGTGGATCTTTGCCCCAGCACGAAGCTCAGCTGCTGGGAAGGTTGCTTCAAGGCGCGAAAAGGGGTCCTGGGGCGTTTGGGTTTGGGGTTTATGGCTGGGAGGTTTGGGGTATGGCTGTATATTGTGTACGAGATTTGTACGGATGCTCGTCTGGACATCAACCTTTCGCATTGCTGCGAGCATGTGATGTTTTTGTCAGGGTCGCACAGGTCATTGGGCAAGTCTGGGTGTAGCATACCTTGGACATCCTAATGAAACACCTCTAGATCAAGGCCTGCACATCAGGTTTCACTGATCCACCCCGAGCTGACAAGTCCAACACCTGGGGCTGTATAATAATAACCCCGTGCTGTTAAGTTTAGTCTAAGTCCGTGCTCGGCTTTGATGGTTTTCCGTGGAAAAACGATAAGATGAACATAAAACACTAGCAAAACGATAACGCACTTTTCGTGGCAAAACGATAGCAAGAAAATGAAACGATAACACCATTCAGGGAGAACGACTTTTTATAAGGTATTATTATACAACCCCGCCTGGCCTTAGACACTTCATAGCACGTAGGCTGCCTCCCGCAAGCTGCTGTTTTTCGACCTCGCTGTATGTAGCAAGGGTCATACAAGGACACCACCAGTTATCGAGCACCCTCCAAGTCGGGTCAGGCTTAGAAGAGAGCAGTCTCTCCGTTCACGACGTGACCAGCGTTCTGGAGCTTGACCTCAAGCGACCAGGCACTTCCTAGATTAGGGGCGAAGTCGAAGGGATTAGAGTTCAATCTTGAGGTTTCAGGGTTGTTGGGATCTTCAGGGTTGCGCGCTTTCTTTGTGGGTGTGTGCAGGGATATTTTGAGACTTGAGGATTAGACTTCTGGGCATGGATCGAGAGCATACCATACCATAGGATAGCACAGGGTATCAGTGTATCATACCATATCACATCACATCATGTCGTATCATAGCATGTCATAGCACATCAGGGATTATGCTACGTTTTTCGCATATCATCATACAGTATCACAGATTGTCTTATGTCGTCTTTTCTGGCCACAGTCAGTATCTTTGTCATTGTCAACTCATGCCATGTCAATGTCATACCCTACCCTGACCCTGCCGTACCAAACCTTATTTGTAAGGCACAGTTTCTCAGCTTGGCTTGAGCACCGCAATGCTTTCTCGTTTGGACTTCGCGTGGTTTTGTCAGGTGGGGTGTTGCTTCTCTTTTTAAGAAGCCCGGAGCCCCGGAGCCAAAGTTTCGGCTGCAGGGTCCGCAGTTTCGGCTGGTGTGCCGCGGGATCTCAGGTCGCGGTTCTTTCGTCAACGCCGCTGATGCCCAAAAAGTGGCCCAGAAGCCCGAGCCTGTAGAAGCGCCTGTAGAAGCGCCAGAATGGCTACTGCTGTGCTGGAACCTGAACTCCAGCTAGTCGCTCCTGGATCACCGAATGTACAATCATACTAGGTTAATAAATCCCACATCCTCACTCCCTTTCACTTCACCCTTGAAGTACAAGCCTTCATGAAACCTGACGTCCCCAACTGCGGCCATCACCCTGTAACTTTCCGGCAGGTTCGAGTTTCCGAGATGCGATGCTGTGTAGACTCAGAGCTACCTGTTGCGATGAAGAAAGGCCCATGTACAGCGCGAACGTGAACCCAGTATAAGCCTCAGAAATACCAAAACCCAATCCGAAGCTATTGTAAACATCGTTTCAGGCAATACGTATGTATATGTACATGGACAATAAGAAAGAAATCAAGAGAGAGAGAGAGAGAGCGAGAGAGAGAGAGAGAGAAGATACATAGATAGACAGAAAGATAGATGATTCACAAGAAGAATTGAAATGATCGAGCATGACATGGTAAGATAGGATCGGACAGCTGAAACTTCAGCCCCTTAAGCTCTTTGAGCCTCTTCAGCCTTTCAGCCTTTCAGCCCCTCAACTCCTAAACCTTAACCCGTAAGCCTTTCAGCCCGAAGAGCGCCCGGAGGCTATGGCGACTCCTTGGCGCAAACTATGGCCTCGCCCGACAGGGAGGCGCCCAAAGAAGTGGCGCCACGGAAGGAGGAGGAGGAGGAGGCGCTCGCCGCTTTTCATTCCGGGATCCTTTGTTTATCAGATCCTTATGTTGCTGTGTTTCTCGTGGTCGAAATGGGATGGCAAGCCTTGCAAGCTGCCGACAAACACAAGAGGGGACTACAAGCCAAGGTAGTGCTGTGCAGGCTCCAGTTTTGTGGGACATAGGCTTCGGAGGTCGGTGTTGATGTGCTAAGTTTCCGGCCCACATGAAACCTGAACGTCTCAACAGGCAGAGCCCTCATGAACCCTGGATCCTTGATTTGAAAGCAGCCCTAAGTGACTAAGTACGATACCTCCTGGAATCCTGACCGTTCGAAGCCCAATCTCAAAGTCCAAGTCCGCAATCCTGATTCCAGCAATCCCCAAGTTCCAAATCCTACGTCTTCTTGTTTTCGCCCCGATGCTTCGACTAGGAGGGTTTCGGGTGTGTAGGGGTTGCCCCCAATCATGTTTCCGAAGTTCCAAAGCTCGGAAAGTCCATCCTAACTCCGACATGTTATTCTCCAGACCTTTCATGGACCCTCGACGGTGGAGATCCCACGCAGCCTTACTAAACTCCCAAAGTATGAAAAGCCCTAACAGCCATACTAATATAGAAGTTTCAACACTGGTACTGTTCCTTCGGGTTCCTCCTTATGTTCACCAAAACCCCATCCCAATCATCAAGGCCCCATATTCTGGAACCCCAATGGTATTCGTAGCCCTTGGGGTGGAAGGCCCTTTTGTTCGGCCCAGAAGTTCCCCAACTCGAGGCTCCAACCTCAGCAGCCTGCGCCCGCTGCCGGGCCGCGCAGCTGCAAAACGGGGTTTAGGGGTTAAGGGAATGACTTAGGAGTTTAGGGTTTGAGGCTTTAAAGTTTAGGGGTCTAGGGTTCAGGAAGAAGGAATGTTGATGACGAGGATTATCATGGACTTAATGTCGGGGCCGAAAGACCACAATAGTTACTAAGGGGTTCCGAAAAAGACAGGGGCCTTAATGATTGGAACGGCGTATCGGGTTTAGTTGTACAAGACAGGGTTTCGGGTTTAAGGTTTAAGAATGAGTATGAGTATGCCCTCATAGTCCCTAGATACTTGTAGTACAAGCAATCTGGGCTGCAGTTTCGCATTGGTCTTTTTGCCAGGTTTGGAGCTGCTTCCGCGGATGGGTTTCTCGAAAGTTTCGAGGGTTTCGGCACTGTGGGGAGGGTGAGGTTCTAGTCTCAAGAGCACAATATTTACACCACCTCTGCCGTAACTTCCACGCTCAGCCAAATACTCCCAAGCCCTAGACCCTGTAAGCTCCCACCTTGCATACAGTAGCCCCGTGGTCCTCGACCTGTCTACAACTAGCCTCCCTAGATGCCCGGAAGCAAGGCAGTCACTTCTATGCTTCAAGTTGTGGGCCTTTCACTCTGGGTTAGCTACTGGTAACTGTGAATCTGGGCAGTGTGGTACGGTTGGGGCCAGTCGTATGTGCTGGTCTGGCTGTGCATGGCAGCAACTTGAACAGCCTGCAAGGCATTTCCGGACGAGACCAAGCAGACGGACAAATGGTGTTAACAAAACCCCCCCAAATCATACAAAAACCCAACGCCCTAAACCCTGGAACTCGAAAGTCCTCAACTCCACAACGCCAAACCCCAAAAATCTTGGAACCTCAAGAACTCCAAAGTCGTTGCAGGTCCTCGAGCGGCAGATGAAGGCTATGGCTCAGGCCTTAGCAGGCCGGGTCGTCTGCATGTAAAGGATTTGACTGGGGTTTTGGGGCTTGGGATTACTACTTACTAGGGTGGCTTTTGCGTTGAGAGCTTAGCATTAGGTTCGAGAGGTTCGATCCGGAGCGAGTTTGATAACCATTCATGCAGGGCTAAGCTGATGCACCGTACGATCGCATACACCCGTTTTATGCGAGAAGTTTAGAAGAGAACTCCGGCAGCGACATAAGCCTCAAAAGCACCTAAAATCCTAATCCCTTGACTTCACGCGAAACCCCAGCCAAGAGCCCACCAAAGCCCTAAACCCCTAAACCCTTCAAAGCCAAGTTTCTCTCGGAAGCTTCTCAGTCGAAGGCCTCGGTGCCCGCGTCTTCAACTGGACTGCCATTCCCTCAGACTCGGATGACTGTGACAGGTTCTCAGGATGAGTTTTTTTTTACAGGGTTTTTGTGTTCCGTGTGTTATTGTGGAGTGTACACATTTAGGATGTCCGATTGGTGAGCAAAGTGTTGCAGGGGTTTTGGTCTTTCGGCTTCAGGGGTGACACTCTTAGGGTTTGAGGATGTAGCAAGGCCGCAAGTTGCAACTTCGGTTTGGAAGTGGCGTCTACTTTGCAGATGCTGCATGCAAGAGCAATCAGTATGCATGTGCATTTGACTGCAGACAGGGCCCTGTCTGCATGTGTGAGAGGACCGTCATCATCGCTCGTGTGGCACTTTGTGACGCTTACGTTACGTTCAAAGCCCACTTCGGACAGGGGACCCCTCCCAGCAGAACTGGCAACAAGGGTATGCACGGGTCGGTTGTTGTCATCCCAGGGCAAATCATTCAACACGGCCTGTTCTTGGACGCAGTACATCACCAGATACACCAGGAGTTTGTAATTTTTGACCGAGAGCAAGCCTACCCATCCTTTGTCGTGCAATAATGGATGTGAAGCACTGGAAGCAAGCTTCTTGCACAGCCATAAACACAGGCGTCGGGACCTCTACTTTTCCAATCGCTTCGGTCAGTGGGATTTGGGCCCGTAGGCCTTGAGTCAACCGCCGAAATACCTCGACAACCCAAACGCGAACCGTAACAACCTTAATCACTTAGCCATAAGCTCAAGCCCTCGACTGTTGGCTTCCTGTTACGTCTTTGATTCTGGGTTCCGTATCGTCTCAGCTTCGAAATTTCGTGGCTCTCAACCCTACTTAAAGGGTCATGGGAGTTAGTGACGAGGGTCGCGCATACTTTAGCTATATTATCGGTATGAATAAATGAATCTACTTATAGCTTATAACCCCCAACTACGGTTCTCATATAACCTGACTTGCTGAGCTAAGTCCCCTCCAGATCCTCTGAGTAGCCCCAAACAGAATGCAGAGTTCAGCGGTTCAGGGCCCAGGGTGTTGGGTTTAGTTTTTGGACGGTTTTGGAGTTCACAATGTACATAGGCCTTTCGAAGCAAGCTGGGGGAGCTCCCCTTCAATACTCTTTTTGATTGCAAAGGTTCGGGTTGAATACACGGGCCTGATTTCACAAGTTAGTTCTGGGATTGATTTGGGTTCCTTCTTGGACTTATCATGAAGGCCCCCATATCAAGTCCCAGGCCGCTGGCACAATAAAGCCCCTAGGCAGACCGGTGCACAGAAAGAAAGTCCGGTGGCCCTCTTCTAGAGTTACGGTATAGGGTCCCCGACCGAAGGCTCTCAAACACATCATCGCACCAGAATAATTAAACCAAGCTCCAGCGCTACCCGATACACCCTAAACCCTTAAACCTCGAACCCTATAAACTAAAAAGACCTAAGCCCTAAACGGCAACTCCGAACCTACCTGCCGAAGACTTGGCGCAATGAGCCTTTGCCCCCTGGACCTTGAAGTCCAAAACTAAGCCAAACCAGAAACACTGAGTTCTCAAACGAAACTCAAAGCCCCTAACGCCTCCCAGAACACATCTTCGAAACTGGTTCTAAGGTTCAGGCGTCCCTGCAGGAGCTGCAACCTTAGCTTCTGTGCCATCTTAAGATTGGGTTTAAATTTGAAGGTGTTCAGGATTTCGAGATTCGGGGCTTGGAGCTTCAGTAAGTAGGATCATACGAACCCTGACATAGGATGTTCTTCCTTGAGGGCGGGGGGGTCCTATTCGCACAGGCTCCTTATACAGGTTACCCAAAGTGTTGCTAGTTTCATAGGATATCTTAACAAGCGTTGCTATAAGCGTTGTATTCTTGGTGAGATGGTCCTTCAGCATCTGAGTACACTGAGTTTGAGGTGTCGCAGTGCATACGGCTCGGTGCATGTATGCGGCCGCGCTACTATAACTGTTACTTTTGGGGTTGCTATAAAGGCTACCCTTGGAATGCGAACGGGAAGACTTACAGCTTATGTGGGGCCTAGTGTTCTGGATGGGTGTCTGGGTTCTGGGACCCGTTGACGAGTTAAGGCTTGAGCAGGAGTCGAGGCCCTGAAAAGATATGGTGCGCCGTGATACCACAATCTCCGCCTCCAGAGCCGAAGCTCTAAACTTCTAGACCGCCAAAACCTAAAAGGCCCCAAACGCTCCAAACCCCGAAGCCTCACAACTCCCAAGCCCTGCACCCCAAACCCCAAAGCCGAAGAGCTCTAAGAGCCCCAAATCCCAGAAAGCAGCAACTCTGAAGCAACCTGCCAAGCGAAACCATTCCCGGAGCCGGGAATCTCAGAGACCAACTCTGAAACCAATAGTTCTAAATTGGGCCCCGAAGTCCCGGAACCTGCAAGCGATTGAGTCCCGCGCTGTAAACAGCGAACTCCACTCTTGCGCTGCCATGCGCCGTGCCGCTGCTGCAGTGCGCGTCGAGGCTTGTGTTTTCAGGTCTTCAGGGGCCCGGTTGTCGGTGTTACTACATGCAGTAGGGTTTAGGGTTTGGAGATTTGGGATTATGGAGAGGCTAAAGAAAATCGTACAACCCTACATGAGCTGTAGGGCCAGCCTCATGACAAGCTACAAGATGTTTTGCCTCGTGCGATTGCAGGCCATCAAGTCTGAGCCCGAAGCTTTTTCATCTTGAATCCCTCCGGAAGCCAAAGCCCCAAGCACTAAACCCTGAACCTAAGCCCAAAACCCTTTATATGGTAGTATGTCTTAAGGCTCCAGCGCTCGAACATGGTTTTACGCCTGGACACCTCAGCCCAACACAGGCAACCTTTCAACCCCAAACCCGAAGCCCTTATCGCTAAGTGAAACCTCATCCCTAAGCCCCAACATATCCCGAAACCCATTGAAGAGGCCCTCCACCTCTTCCTGCTGGGAGCTTCTACGGCGCTCCCCACCACGCAGCTTCCAAAGCTGCAAGCAGCGCCTTGGCGAAAGACGCCGACAAGGGTTCACGGTTTAGGGTTCACTCTTTGGGGTTTAGGGTTCAGGTGTTTAGTAAGGTTTACGGTTTGTAGGGTTTACGGTTTAGGGATTTGGGGTATAGTGTTTATAAGGCTGGGGGATCCAGACCTGAAGCCTGCAGGGACTTGTTTCGGGTTTACGGCTTGCAGGGATAATTACTGTTTCAGGGTTACCGGTGCAGGGTCTGGTGTCTTCGGATGTAGGTCAGGGGTTAGGGGTTTAAGGGTTTAGGGAGATGAGGGGCAAGAAGCGCCGCGAGTATCAGCACACCTTCGAGAACCCAAATATCCAGAAGCTCGCTCATCCTCGATTTGTTTTTCCTGCACCTTGAACCGTGAATGTAGCTGAAACAGGAAGTCTTTCATGAGCCCTATGTCGTTGCTGGCGCGTTGGTCAGCGTGAAGGGGCTCTTGAACACGGTGATTGCACCCTATGTGGGTGCCACTTGGCAGAGAAACGCTAGGCTTGAGGGCTTACCTGTGGCCTGAAACCCCTCTGCGTTTCGACAAGATCAAACCCCAAGAGCTGTCCTGCACGTCAGTGTCAGGGTTGGACAGGACTGGTTTGCAATCATAGTGAATAATCATGCATGTCGAACGAATCTTACAAAAGCCTGGTCTTTCACTGTTTTGGGTTCAGCGCTCCGTTTCCCGGAATACAGGTCTGGTTCGGGGTGTCGGGTTCAAAGTTCGGCTTCGCTTCGTAAGTTTCGGAGGAGTCGGGCTATCCTAGCCTCACTTAGATGCCACAAAAGGCCGGGACAAGTTGGCTGGTTGCAGCTGCCTTATGCTCGGGTGTCCATGAGTGATAGTGCGCTTCGCTAAGCTGCGGAGTTTTGCAGCACTTTGCATTTCCAGAGCCAGTGTTGGTCCATAGCTCCCTCGACCCTTCCTTGTGCACATTGACCTGCAGACTTGCCAAGCGTCATGCATGGCTCAGGGTATGACTTGCATAAGCTTTTCTCGGCTCGTTGGACAGCCTTCTGAAGAGTTCCTACGAGTTTTGTTCGAGAGTTGCATTTAATTGGGACGGATTGGCGCATGTGTTGCTTAGAACACGCATAGCGTAATGTAGACGCCTCAGTCAACAAGTAATGCTATTCCTGGAGTTGCCTTATGTTAAACTTAAAGCCTATGTCAGGTGTAAACACCTCCGATGTTCTGTTGGCTAGAGAGATACCAGGCCTACGTCGACCAGCGTGGTCGTCACAGACTGTGTTTGATGTTCTGGCTCGGGGTGCTTGCCGTCCCCTTTCTGGCGAACTCCGGCAGAATTTATGGGCCTTCCTTGACGCGGGGCCTTAATTAAGGTTTACAGAGAGTTCAGGGTTCAGGGTCGGGCTTATCTATATCTATATCTATATCTATATCTATATATATATATATACAGATAGATAGATAGACAGATAGATAGATAGGGGGATGTCTAGAGTCTATCGTTTCTGGGTGTTGGACTGTTGGACTTCGCGGTTTGGAGGCGACTCACAGATTAGAGCCGAGTCGAACTCACTCAGGTGTGTTCGACGGAGTGTGCTTTCAGACTTCGTGGGTTCGGCGTGTCGACACCGACGGATGTTTATTAATGACATTGCAGGGGGGGGAGGTTTCTAGCGACCTCATATGCTCCCCGTGTTCCATTCTGATATGATGGAACACAGCGAGATGGCCCGGGTTGGCTCAAGCCCCCAAGCCTTTTGTTCTAAAGTTCTCGAACATGTTGCTTTTCCCGGGACTGTCGTTTTGGGCCCGGGCCAGCAGGTCATTGAGATTTGAATGGCCTTGTTCGTCACGGATACAAGCCCTAACCCGCCCTTCAAGCCCAAGCCCAAGCCTGAATAGGAGATCTCCTTCCACTCTCCGGGTTTTGAAGAATTATGTGCAACGCTGCCCCGTTATCGTCCCGATCCAGATATGCTTGAACATACCCCAAAGCGCTGTATAGTCCGATGGTCAAGCCCTTTGTTGCATTCGGAGCATGACTGACGTTGTATGGAGGCGGAGTGAGATACTATCTGACTCCGCAGCATTTCCAATGCTATGGAATGTGTGGCATGCGAAGTTTGCCAGAATGCTGTCTGATTGAGGCAGCAATGGATTCAGCAACAGGCAACCTTAAGTTCCGCTATAGTTGTTAGCACTTCTCAGGACATGCGAAGAGGAACTTTGCGGTGCAAGTGCCAGTCGTGATGTTGATGTCATTGGTTGAGGCTATCTAAATGACCTGGCTTCCGATGATCGTTACAGCGACGATGATGAGGACGACGACGAGCATGAAGAAGATGATGATGATCGTGGCGCTGGAGATCAGGGTGAAGATGCCAATGCGGATGATGTTGATGATGGTGACGGTGATGATGTTGGTGATGATGATGATCATCGTCATTGTCATCATTGTCATCATCATCGTCATGATCACCCTCATCATCATTGTCATGGTGGCCATGACGAGGACGATCATGTCGATGAAGATGGTGGTGGTGTGCTAGTGTTTCTGCCGTTGGAGAAGAACAAGATGAATCATGACGGTGATGCCGTCAGTGGTACCTGGAACCGAGGATCCTGGCAACGGTGGATGCATCCACTGAGGTGCAGGTGCGACTAAACGCTAATCCTTTGGACTTTACGTGGTTGTTGTTCTTAACAGGCGTCGAACTATTTTGGGGCACTTACGAAGCTGAAATCCATCTACCGGGTAGGTATGTACCCACGTGTTTTCATTTGGAGTTCAGGTTTTCGGATTCGCACGTGACATATCGAAGGCTGTTCCCATGTTATCATTTCTAGGCACGTCACCCCCCCCCCATCTCCCCCCCCACATTTACATGCATGAACGAATCTACTAGTCTACATTTGCAAACGAATGTGACGACTGTCACTTGTTTATTGGTATTTTATGCGCTCACACAGACACATATATGTATAAGTGTATATATATATATGTATATTTATATATCATATATTATATATTATATGTTATATATTATATATTATATATTATATATTATATATTATATTATATATATATATATATTATATATATTATATATTGTATATATTATATATTATATATATTATATATTTTATATATTATATATTATATATTATATATTATATATTATATATTATATATTATATATTATATATATATTATATTATATTATATTATATATTTATATATTATATATTATTTATATTATATATTATATATTATATATTATATATTATATATTATATATTATATATTATATATTATATATTATATATTATATATGATATATTATATTATATTATATATATATATATATATTATATATTATATATATTATATTATATATATATATATTATATTGTATATATTATATATTATATATATTATATATTATATATATATATTATATATTGTATATATTATATATTATATATATTATATATTTTATATATTATATATTATATATATATTATGTTTTTTATATATTATATATTATATATATTATATTTTATATATATATTATATGTACATATATATATATACAGCCATGCATGCATGTTGTTCGTTTTCTGTTGTTTGCGTTGTGTCTGTGACACCTTCATCTTGGCATCTCAGTGGTGTTGAATT